AAAGTAGAATGACACGGAGAGCGTATAAATCTGTAGGGGAAGGAAGGCGGGGTAGGGGTCATCCTCGAAAAGGGTGGAGGGAGGGGGTAAAGGTTTTGTGGGCGAAGGGCTTGGACTTCCAGCAAGTGTGTGTGAGCGTGTTAGATAGGAGTGAATGGAGATGAATGGTATTTGGGACCTGACGATCTGTTGGAGTGTGATGAGCAGGGTAATATTTAGTGAAGGGATTCAGGGAAACCAGTTATTTTTATATAGCCGGACTAGAGTCCTGGAAATGGGAAGTACAATGCCTGCACTCTAAAGGAGGGGTTCGGGATATTAGCAGTTTGGAGGGATATGTTGTGTATCTTTATAGGTATATGCTTCTAAGCTGTTGTGTTCTGAGCACCTCTGCAAAAACAGTGATTATGTGTGAGTGAGGTGAAAGTGTTGAATGATGATGAAAGTATTTTCTTTTTGGGGATTTTCTTTCTTTTTTGGGTCACCCTGCCTCGGTGGGAGACGGCCGACTTGTTAAAAAAAAAAAAAAAAATATTTTCAGTATTTCTTTCTTTTTTTGGGAGATGGTCAGTGTGTTGATAAAAAGAAGAATAAGGAAATCCACTACAATGATAATTTTTACAATTACATATTTATTTCATGTCACAACCAACATAAAATATTGTAATAAATTGCTTTTTCTTTCTAACACAAATTCTAACTCAATACAGTACAGTGATACATTGACTTACGAATTTAATTCGTTCCGTGACTGAGCTCGTAACTGAATCTGCTCGTATATCAAATAAATTTTTGTCAATGAAATTAACTGAAACGCCATTAATCCATTCCAGCCTCCAAAAAGCCTGAGTTTCGAGAAAATACTTCAATTTAATGCTAATATCAACTCAACGGCTTATTTATCTATCAGAATTGATCTAATATGACATATTAAACACTATAAGTAACATAAAAACATGACATATATGCTAGAATGAATAAAATAGGCCATAATATGGCGAGTGTCCAGGACCTGTCCGAGCATATAAAATCATTACTGCACCTTCCTGTAACGTGTTCTTTGGTCCTGGGTAAGAGAAAATGAAGTTTTTGAGAGGCTAACTGCACTAGATCACTAGTTTCATAAGGAAAACACTGAAACAAAAGCGATTTTCTTAAAAAAAGAAAAAATTCCCCAAGATGGGAGGCTGGCCCACGTTCCCAGTGAATATCTCAGAAGTAAGTTATTGACTTATTTCATGGCAGCGTATCTAAAGCTTGCTCGTAACTCGGATTTTGGCTAGCAACTCGGAGCAAAAAATCGACCAAGCGATGGCTCGTAACTCAGAAAGCTCGTAAGTTGGGGCACTCGTAAGTCAAGGTACCACTTTATTTCAACAGGAACACAGCAATGAAGTCATACACATTACTGTATACACAGATTAATACGTGAGTATTAGATGGCATATGAATAAATCAAGTAATTAAATTTTAATAAATACAAAAGTTTAAATAAAATATAGTATTGTAGCGACTAATTTAAAAGAAATTAACTGAGAATGGGAAAACTGACATTTTTTAATTAAATATTAATGCAATTTGTTTATGGCAACAAAACATATGTTTCCACATACAAAACAATTTGTGCAAAAATTATATCTATCACTACCATATGAATACATACAAGAACAAATTTCTAGTTCTTAGTTGACTGTGCCAACTAAGAGCTAGAAACAGTTTCTATGGATGGTACTATAATGTAACAGAAAAGTCATTTAAGAATTCCATTTTTATCTGAATTCTTAAAATAAAAAATCATCAGATTTGCATTTGTACAAAAAAAAAAAAAAAAAAAAAAAAAAAAAAAAAAAATTTAGAGAGAGAATTGTAAATGAGTGTGCTGTGTTATTGTGACACATTATTCATCTTACCAATAACTTGTGTGTGTAATGGGACATATATCACCCACATCTATTGTTGATGTAAAAATTAATAAAATATAAATATTCTTATACAATAACTACATTTATGAGAGGAAGCAAAAAATTAAAAAAATATTTACACTATATACAGTGCAGAGAAAATATGTAAACTAATAGTTTATTTAAAAATTTTACCATTAATAATAATAACACTAATTAACCATAAAATTAAAGCATTTTGGCAACTGTATGACAAATTTTAGACCCTTATGGGTTTAGTACATAGTTGTGATTATAATAATAATGATAAATTTTTGCCACTGTTAATACTTTTCTCTGAAGGAGGGGTGTTAATGTTGCAGTTTAACCCTTTGAGGGTCGACAGGCCCTCTCCGAAACTCGTTCTCAGGGTCGGCCAAATTTAAAAAAAAAAAATTATTTTCTCTTATGAAAAGATAGAGAATCTTTCCCCGATCATAAAGACACCAAAAGTTTGAAATTTGATAGAAAACTTACGGAATTATGCTCTCGCAAAGTTAGCAGTCTCGGCGATGTTTACGCATCGGCGATTTTGCCCACTTTGAGCCCCATTTTCGGCCAATTTCACTGTACTAGTCGACAAAAAACATGAATATTTCGCTAGAACTCCATTTTTTCTATCGAATGGGTGCTAGAAACCACCCATTTATAAATTCAACTATCCAGTACAGTGGTCAGAATTTAGCAATTTTGCCAATTTCACACAAATTTCAAAAGATGCCAATTTCCGAATAGGGTCCAGAATAAACAAGAGACATTCCTGGCACTAAAATGACATTTCCTCTAGTCATTAGTCACGTCTCAAGGCCCCTCTTATATTCTTTTGCTTTCCACTTTGAATTTTTATTCTCACAAAAAATATAAGATTTACTGTTATGCAGACTACTGCATTAGTGTAAAAAATGGTATAAATATTATTGGTGCACTTGTAAAAGAATATTAGACTCACCAGTTGACGTGTATTGCACGCTTGGCACGATTTGTTTACTTTTGAAGTTTGGTAAAAATCGAACATTTCTGCTACTTTGAGCTCAATTTCAAGGCACCTTTCATTGTAAAACCAGTCAAAATCATCTCAATTTCTGTAATATGTCTTCCATTCTATAAAATGGGACCAAGAAAACTAGAATACAACAATAAATACCATACGAAAATACACTGCAAAGTCGCCGATTTATTAAAAAAAAATGGTCAAAGTTTTTTTTTTCTCATTATGCACTGTGTGCTGCAGGATTTTTTTTAGACTGTGCACACTGACCACATAGGCCCATTCTTTCATATGAAGGCCTACCAGCTTTCTCCCACTAGATTTGAGGCCGCTAGAATTTATGAGTACTAGTACGTCAAAAATCCCTACTCGTAAAACGTACTAGTACGACCAAAACCCTCAAAGGGTTAAAAACTGTAGTGTAAAGCACCCTTCTGGCAAGACAGTGATGGAGTGAATGATGGTGAAAGTTTTTCTTTTTCAGGCCACCCTGCCTTGGTGGGAATCGGCCAGTGTGATAATAAAAAATAATACTTTTCTTATTCTTCATGAATTATAGGGATAAAAAAAATGTCGAAAATTTAATGAAAAAGTGTTAAGTGTATGTGTGTGCGTGCTCACCTATTTGTGGTTGCAGGGGTTGAGTCACTGCTGTACTCATCTATTTGTGGTTGTAGGGGTCGAGTCTTAGCTCCTGGCCCCTCTTCACTGGTTGCTACTGGGTCCTCTCTCTCCCTGCTCCCTGTGTGTGTGTGTGTGTGTGTGTGTAATATATAATGCTACAGAGCAGACAATAAATTACCGGTATAGCAACTGAGGTAGATTAGGTTTACTCTTTTTGGCAGTAATGAGAATCAATTTGACAAAATGATCATCTGACCAAATACACATAAATGAAACTCGTACATCTTGAATAATTAATTTTACATATTTCTTTCCCTTTAGCAGGTAGGCCACCTGCCAGAATTAAATGATTTTAAAATTACGTACTTCATCATTAAGGTGACTACCAGCCAAGTTTTGGCAAGTCTTATAGTAGCCCAGAAAAATTAATTAAACAAAATATTAATTGAGTTTAGTATAAATCACAGAAATATACATAATAATATATGCAAGACCATGCACGGAAATTAGAGAGAATATACTTAAGGATACTAAGATATTAGCAAACCAACAAAATCAAATACTATAACAATGTACATGTATATGTGGATACAGTACATAAGTGGAGCTATGCTAAGTGTGTCCAATCTTCTTTAATTTACCACTCTTTTTACTTTTTAATTTTCTGCCATCTGCAACTCTATTTGAAAAGAACCTTATAACTATTTTCTACTGCTATTTTTGCATCTCTTCTCTCTTTTAATATAAAATCATGTTCTTTTTAGTCTCTGCAACATGTAATATTGAAGAATAAGGTATATAAAGGGGTTCAGGAATTCCAGTTAGTCAGATCTGAGTCCTAGAGGTAGGAAGTATTGTGCCCACACTCTGAAGGCTGGGTAAGGACACAGCAGTTTGGTGGTCATTTGAACTGTGATGTCTGGGCACTTCTGGAAAAACAGCTAAAAAATAAATGATGTTAAATGAGTTTCTAATAGGTAGTAGGTTGGTAGACAGCAACTGCCCAGGGAGGTACTACCATCCTGCCAAGTGAGTGTAAAACGAATGCCTGTAATTGTTTTACATGATGGTAGGATTGCTGGTGTCCTTTTTTCTGTCTCATAAACATGCAAGATTTCAGGTACGTCTTGCTACTTCTACTTACACTTAGGTCACACTACACATACATGTACAAGCATATATATACACACCCCTCTGGGTTTTCTGCTATTTTCTTTCTAGTTCTTGTTTATTTCCTCTTATCTCCATGGGGAAGTGGAACAGAATTCTTCCTCCATAAGCCATGCGTGTTGTAAGAGGCGACTAAAATGCCGGGAGCAAGGGGCTAGTAACCCCTTCTCCTGTATATATTACTAAATGTAAAAGGAGAAAGTTTTGTTTTTCTTTTTGGGCCACCCTGCCTCGGTGGGATACGGCCGGTTTATTGAAAAAAAAAAAAAAAAAAAAAAAAAAAAAAAAAAGAGTTTCTGCCTTTGGGTCACCCTGCTGGATTATTATTCTTTATGATAATCAGGGGGAAACACTAAATCAGTAATTGATGGTTTGATCCAAGGAAATGTATAGTTATATTTCCTGGATCAAAAGCCCATCATCTATATCAAGGTCTCTCTCTCAAGAGGTACTTAGTGAAAAACGGCCACAAAAAAAAAAAAAAAAAAAAATACTACGGTATATACATGTACTATAAACGTATGTGAAAACACATGTATTTATATGTACAAACAAAAACACAAATAGACACATAGGTAATCACTTACAACCATCAATGAAAGGAGGCAAATGCTAGGAACAAAAGAGCATGGAAGAAGTCCAGAACAAACTACGTGTCAGATGCCAGGAAAGCTTGCTGAAGAGCTAGTGACGAATATCTTCAGGTGAGGAAAGAAGTGGAAAAACAATATACAATACCCATAACAGCCAAGGTGGAAGCAGAATTAAGGCTACTTCAGTCACGTCAGAAGAAATATTACAAGAGACAGAAGGGAGGATAAATCAGATAGAGCTATCAAATACTGAAATGACTATAAGCAAGTAATGACTTTTGATGAAACATGACACATTAAAGACAACATGACCTGACAAAATATCAACAAATACTAAAAGGAAGTGAAATACTGTGCAAGCTACTAGCATAAATATTTAAGAAATAGGTGTAAAACAGATGACTGGAAGGAAAAACATGTAATAAAGATATTAGGAAGAGAAGACACCCTCAACTACAGACCAGTGTCTATTTCACATGTCAGTCAAAAGTTTAGAGGCTGGACCAAGAGCTCTTCTGCTACAAACTCAAATATGTAATAGCAAAAAGAGAATTATACACACAATTAAGCAAGCATAAACAACAGAGATGAATTCAAAATCTGAAAACAATGAAAGTTTATAATACAGAATGTTTAGTAATATGAAACAAGACAGATGCCAACATAAATATTTGTGTTATGCAAAGAGTGAATCAGATTGAGGCAAATAAATCTTAAAATTCAAATTGTTGAATATTCATTTGGTATAAATAGATGCTGAGGAATAAATAGAGGGAAGTGTATGTGAAATACTGAACAGTAAATAGTGAAAAAAAAATTGTTGAAGGTGAACTTCCATGGAAGACATAACACAGAAGTATGTACAGGGTTTAGACAAGAGCAGATTACCTACATCACTGAGAAGAAAAGTTAAGATTTATATACAGTACTGTATATACATTAGACACCCAGTAGAGCTTATGATGGCACAAGGGATACAGAACAATCTAGATCATGCTTAGAGTAATCTGAGGCAATTATGTTAACAGTTACCCTACTCAAGATAAGTTTGCAAGAGGAGCAAGGTATGAAATATAAATAGATAGATAAACAATTAGACACTAAAAATTGACTGGAACAGACTACTCCAAAAGAAAGAATATCAACAAAAACATGTTGAGAACATTCCACTATTTTATATACTATAAAATAAATAACAAGAAAGTCACTAATTTAAAAATAAAGAAAAATTTTAAACTGCTAAAAAATTTAAACTGAAAATATTTCTTCAGAGTTGCAGCTGGCTGAAGCACAGCCATTTTTAAAAATCACAGTACATTTTACATAAAAGATGATGAGACATTAGGAGCATAGCTCATTTCTTGTAAATTATAAATATGCAATGGCTATGCAAATGGGTAAAAGCATGCATGTATATTGGCAAATAAGTAATTAGAATCAGCTAAATTATAAAGTTCCTCTACAAAGTGCATTTTTTTTTTTTTGTAAATAGGAGTAAAAAAGTGAATAAAAAATTTAACAATATGTACTATGTACTTTCTCAATTGCATTTGTAAAAACATGCAGTACTGTATATAGAGGAGCTTTTTGAGAGAGCTATCTTCACACAGAACCAGAGAAAGAAAACATGAAAATGTAGATGACAAAAATAGCTGTAAAGCTAGTCAACTAAACTAAAACAGCAACATTTCCCTTCCTAAAATTAATGTTTAAAGCACGATATACAGTTCTTAGCCAGTCCCAAATTACCTTTCTGTCAGTGTGAATCCTATAGCTATACCTCAGATGAAAAAGACAGCAAGTATGTTCAATGGATCATCATAACATGATACAATACTCAAAAGTACATGCTGTACTATATATATTTTCTTCAATAATTTTATACAATTGTAAGATTTAGGTAATTTCACTGAGACTATTAATCTAGGTTTATATAATAGTGTCACAGGCTGTTACTCAGGTTATGTGATAAGCTATTACTAAAATAATTTGCTATGCTATATTCACAAAAGAATGCAGAGTTTATTCATGAATGGCACTTCCCACATTTATGGGGTAAAGAGGTACGTCTCTGGAATAAAAGAAAAGATCTTTCACACTGGTGTACCTCTCACTTAATGACATCACTTAAAACTAATATTATCACACCATATATAATAGGTATAAATGTACTTCATGTGAAGCATCACAAAATCATAACTGACACTCACTCAATCTTAATTAACAAACTGTTCCCACTGAGCTTCGTTGATTACACTTCTTTTGGATCACTCACATAATTGAAAATTAATAATGTGATAGGTTCCTCAGTTGGTTATGCAATGAATATATGGGTGAAATTATGTGATCTATCAAAGTGGGTGAAATTCAGAATGGTTTGAAATTAGTGCATAAAAAAAAGGAATAACTTTAGCATATAAGATTTTGTATCTGTGGATAACATTTCTATGGCACAGAATGATGTATATCTAGTATAATTCAAAGTCTTGTATATGTGTGTAGGACAAGATGGTTCAAAGTAAAAGTAAATGTAAATTAATGGTATAAAAAAATATACATTTGTGCAAAAATATAGTAGTTTGAATGGAGAAAAAATAATGTTGGTAAATTTAAATATGGGGCAGGGCAGAAAGATACCTGGGATGTGTATGAAAAAATCCAAGTAAAGGTAAGAAAAAAAAAATTCAACTCATATAAGGTGTACAGTAAACACTGATAGGAATGAACATGAAAACTAACAAATTAGAGCAATGAAAACTGATATACTGTGAACCATGAGTAGTGTTAGGATAAACAAGTTAAGGAATGAAGAAATGATAGGCAGTGTGAAAACACAACAAAGGACTGAGAAAAGTTTGATTTTGGTACAATAGAATAGTCATGTAAAATAAATAAATAACTGAGGGATGAAAAAATCAAGTAAAGTGCAAGTTTGAGTGCAGAAAATTACAACAAAAGAGAAGAGAAAATGTGAAATTATATTCATGGGAATAATATCAATGAATGGGAGTGAAAGCACAGATTGTTAAAGCTCGAATGATTAACAATTACAGTTTCACAGTGTTTATGAGTATTCATACAGAATACTATTACATCAAGTTTATGTAATACTGTAATGTGGCTAAAATAATGACAAAGAAGATTTTTTAGTGAAGTAGCACAGTACTAGTTTCCTATGATTATATTAATGTGAAAAACTGGGTGTCACTCATTAACTTTTACCATCCTAGACTATGAAACTTTTCCAGCAGTTTCCTCTCTACCTAATGAAAACAGACAATGGGATAGGGATAATGATAACTGTAAAACACACAATCTTCTGGCATGCAATAACATACTGCTAAGGTCTCATGGTGATGGGGAACTCCTGACTGAGGCTGCATTTCGCTTTGTCATCTTCAGCTTTGTTGCTAATGAAGAGACCTTAATCGTTGTCATTGGACAGTAAGAAATTGTATGAGCATTATTACCAGTTCCACCACATCTAGGGCAAGTGTAGTTTCTCAGTGCATCACATGTTAAATGTCCACTTGAATCTCTGCATAAAAAAATTACTTGATAAACTATGGTATGACTTCGAATCCATAAAGTTATACTATAATTAAAAATCTGATGAATTCAAACAACACCTTACATTTTTCAAGAGTAAATAAAGCTAAAAGAGAATGTAAAAGATGTTAATGACTGAGAAATCATCATAATGTATTCATGCAACACATTTTTTCATGTTGTGAAAACGACAATTCAAGAAATGATCTCAAATAGAAATTCTAAAAATTGTTACACCAAATCACAACAGAGGTCTAAAACCTTTAAATTGGGACCAGATTTAAATGAAAATAGTAAATAAAATATTATAAAAGGTGTTAAACTATCTTCAATACTGAAGAGATAAACCTGAATACCAAAACACAAGCAACCTAAATTTAAAAACAGACTGAACTGTGTTGATATTTTATAAAACATTATAAGGACTTAAAATGACAAGCAGAAAGGAAAGGGGTACAATTAACACCATTTTGAATCAAATACAGCACACGTATTTTATGGCACGAGAGAAAAATCAAGACCAAAAGAATAATTGGCACTACACCTACCATCCAACTTACAACCTGCTCGACATACGACCATTCAACTTACGACCATGTTTTCTATGCCAAATTTCTGGGAAATAAACAACTGTTTCTGTTGTACACATTGTTTATCCTAAACTTTACAGTATAAAACAGTACTAACAGCATAAAAAGTAAAGTAAAAAATGAAATACCAAAATAAAACAATAAAATAAAGTCATTACAAAAATTTGATGTTGATATTCAGCAGTGAGGTTCGACTTATGTCCATTTCGACTTACGACCGGTTTGTCGGAACCGAACTTGGTCGTAAGTCGGATAGTACCTGTATTTATCATCACCCACACTACTTAACAAGAACTGTCCTTATTACTTAATTCTCTGCAGCTCAAATACAGGACAATCCCTCAAGAGCTACACTTTATATAGTAAATGAATAATTAGTTACAATATCATGGTTGGAACAATTCACAACTATTTTTTTTATTTATTTATTTATGTCTTTGCAAATAGTATATTGAGATTATGTTACAGATGATACTAGACTACATTTCAGTCCATCCTGGATCACTGTTAAGGTGCAAATGATTTGAGAATGGTTCAGCATAGACTGATGCATTGTCTAGTTTCATCAATAATTTGTGGGTAAATTTTGATATTGCATAAATATTTTCTCTATTGTATAAGCACATTCTCCCTTACAAAAAAAAAAAATCCATTATGTGAGTAAAAAACAAGACACTGAAAACAAAATACACAAATAACCTACACATAGGAGGAAGAAACTTATGACTGAAACACTGAGGATGAACTGAAATTCCTTAGGATCATTAATGGATAAACTGATGCAAAAATATGTGCTGCAGGGGAAAGGTGAAAAGACGTATGTGTAAATGACTTGTGCAAATAGGAAAGTAATGAATAAAATTCCCCCCTCTGAAGAAAATACTATGAACTAATGATTATTATGTTATCTATAAGATAACATAATAATGTTATGTAGCCACTAAAAAAACTTAATATGATAAGCAAGACTTTCGAAAGAAAACAAATACATTACCTAAGATCTAAATCTTTATGCTCACATACAGATCCCAGAAGTTTGGTTCACACTTTAGAATTCTTGCAAATATTTTTATTAAAGGTGGAAAACTTGCCATACACAGCTCAATGCAGATTTGATAATTCAACCAGATTTGCATGATAAGCAGAAGTGTGTTATGAACATATGCAATACCAATCTCCATTCTTGTACATCGGCTCAGAAAATAATTGGTTTAACCAAAAAACAGAAAACCATCTAAGATTTCAATATACAACAGTTCTCTTTCATCATCAAAGCAATACAGATTGGTGATCTAGTGAACAAGTTAATCGAGCTAGAAAAAACTGTTCATTAATATCCAACTAGAGGTGCAACCTAAAAAAAAAAAAAAAAATCCTTCAGTGCAAAAACAGAAAAAATCCAACAGGGCTGAATGTAAGCACTTAGCCTAGTGTTATCCAAGAAGTACTACCATTTGGCAAACTGGGAGTTAAACATCTAATTAAGGTTTGATGTTTAAATCCCAGATATTATACCCTCTCAATAATTAAGGGCCTCATTCAGTCTTCCATGAATAAGAAGCAAAATATATTCTAGTCCAAAAAAATATGAAGCATCCATTGAACTGAGCCTACTCAAGTTCCTCAATGAGTCTGGTTTAGCCAAGACAGAATAAATTATCAGTATAAACCTCAAAGTTCAACATATAGATATATGTACTCACCTAATTGTGGTTGCAGGGGTCAAGACTCAGCTCCTGGCCCCGCCTCTTCACTGATCGCTACTGGGTCCTCTCTCTCTCTCTGCTTCCTGAGCTTTGTCATACCTCATCTTAAAACTATGTATGGTTCCTGCCTCCACTACTTCACTTGCTAGGCTATTCCACTTGCTGACAACTCTATGACTGAAGAAATACTTCCTAACGTCCCTGTGACTCGTCTGAGTCTTCAGCTTCCAGTTGTGACCCCTTGTCCCTGTGTCCCCTCTCTGGAACATCCTATCTCTGTCCACCTTGTCTATTTCCCGCAGTATCTTGTATGCCGTTATCATGTCTCCCCTGACCCTTCTGTCCTCCAGTGTCGTAGTCCGATTTCCCTTAACCTTTCCTCGTACGACATTCCCTTGAGCTCTGGGACTAGCCTTGTTGCAAACCTTTGTACTTTCTCTAACTTCTTGATGTGCTTGACCAGGTGTGGGTTCCAGACTGGTGCTGCATACTCCAGTATGGGCCTAACATACACAGTGTACAGTGTCTTGAACGATTCCTTATTAAGGTATCAGAACGCTATTCTCAGGTTTGCCAGGCGCCCGTATGCTGCAGCGGTTATTTGGTTGATGTGTGCCTCCGGTGATGTGCTCGGTGTTATGGTCACCCCAAGGTCTTTCTCCCTGAGTGAGGTCTGTAGTCTTTGTCCACCTAGCCTATACTCTGTCTGCGGTCTTCTTTGCCCCTCCCCAATCTTCATGACTTTGCATTTGGCTGGATTGAATTCGAGAAGCCAGTTACTGGACCACATGTCCAGCCTGTCCAGGTCTCTTTGCAGTCCTGCCTCATCCTCGTCCGATTTAATTCTTCTCATCAACTTCACGTCATCTGCGAACAGGGGCACTTCAGAGTCTATTCCTTTCATCATGTCGTTCACATATATCAAAAATAGCACTGGTCCTAGAACTGACCCCTGTGGGACCCCGCTCGTAACAGGCGCCAACTGTGATACCTCTTCACGTACCATGACTCGTTGCTGCCTCCCTGTCAGGTATTCCCTTATCCATTGCAGTGCCCTCCCTTTTACATGCGCCTGATCCTCCAGCTTCTGCACTAATCTCTTGTGGGGAACTGTGTCAAAGGCCTTCCTGCAGTCTAGGAAAACGCAATCTACCCACCCCTCTCTCTCGTGTCTTACTTCTGTTACCTTGTCATAAAACTCCAGGAGGTTTGTGATACAAGATTTGCCTTCCATGAACCCATGTGGTTTTCATTTATAATCTTGTTCCTTTCCAGGTGTTTGACCACTCTCCTCCTGATAATCTTCTCCATGACTTTGCACACAATACATGTCAGAGACACAGGTCTGTAGTTTAGTGCCTCGTTTCTGTTTCCTTTCTTAAATATGGGGACTACATTAGCTGTCTTCCATTTCTCAGGTAGTTGCCCAGTTTCAAGGGATGTGTTGAAGATTGTGGTTAGAGGCACGCACAGCATCTCTGCTCCTTCTCTAAGGACCCATGGGGAGATGTTGTCCAGTCCCATCGCCTTTGAGGTGTCAAGGTCACTTAAGAGCTTCTTCACCTCCTCCTCAGTTGTTCGTATGTCATCCAACACTTGTTGGTATATTCCCTCTTGATGTTCCCTTCTGTGCTGTCTTCCCACAGCCCTTCCTGTCTCTACTGTAAAAACTTCCTTAAATCTCCTGTTCAGCTCCTCACATACCTCCTGATCATTTCTTGTGAGTTCTCCACCTTCTGTCCTTAATCTGATCACCTGGTCTTTGACTGTTGTCTTCCTCCTGATGTGGCTATACAAGTTTCGGGTCAGTCTTGATTCTCGATGCTATGTCATTTTCATACTGTCGTTGGGCCTCCCTCCTTACCTGTGTGTACTCATTCCTGGCTCTGCGACTGATCTCCCTATTTTCGTGTGTTCTCTGCCTTCTGTACTTTTTCCATTCTCTATTGCATTTTGTTTTTGCCTCCTTACACCGTCGGGTAAACCAGGGGCTCGTTCTGGTCTTCCCATTGTTACTGTTGCCCTTGGGAATAAACCTTTCCACTGCCTCCTTGCATTTTGTTGTTACATATTCCATCATTTCATTTACTGGCTTTCCTGCCAGTTCTCTGTCCCACTGGGCCTCCCGCAGGAAGTTCTTCAACCCTATGTAGTCCCCTCTTTTATAGTCAGGCTTTTCCCATTCAACTCCTGTTATTCTCTCCACTTGCAGCTCTACTATGTATTCAAAGCACAGAACCACGTGGTCGCTAGCTCCTAGGGGACTCTCATACTTGATGTCCTCAATGTCTGAGCTGCCCAGGGTGAACACAAGGTCCAATCTTGCTGGTTCATCCTCCCCTCTCACTCTGGTAGTGTCCTTAACATGTTGGTGCATGTACCTCCTGGCTAGTGATTATCTAGCCAAGTGACTTTCTTTCCCAGTCATTTATTTAATATTAATCTATTGTACAAAAATCAGTGCTAGTTCTACTATTTCTTTATTTATTATTTTTACTGTTAAATTTTTAGCCTTTTTTAACAGCACTGTGTTAAAAATACCAATTTAATTTCTCCTGCTTAATTTTGCTTTTTACTCCCTTGATATGAATAGTATATTGCTGCTTTTCTCAGTTTCAATTTCATTAAAATTTCACAGATTCATTAATTTCTAACAAAGTATAAAAGACCATAATACTTTTAACTTAACAGCCATCTCCTGCTTGACTGCTAGCACACTCAGCTCACACACTGACGTCCAGGGATTGATCCCTGGTATGGTTGGAAACATTAGGACGTGTTTCCTTAAGATACCTGCTGTCCAATGTTCACCCATCAGTAAAATGGGTACCTGGGTGTTAGTCAACTGGTATGGGTCACATCCTGGGACAAAATTGACCTAATTTGCCTAAAATGCTCTGCATAACAGGGGGCTTTCTATATAGTAGTACAGTGGTCTTGAAGGACATAAGCAAACACTATGACATATTTATTAGAAGATCACTTCTAACATACAGAGGTAGAAAGACATTATATAGAGGCGGAGAGTGAGGTGTGAATGACGCATGGTGACCTGAAGAATGCCATGTTGGGATGAGGACAGGTAGACGATGAGATCATGTGACTCCTGTGTTGTTGGGTTGGTGGTGCTTAGCCTGCTTGAGTATCATATATGCTAATGTTTTAGAAATTTTGTGGTTTCCAGTGTTACGTTCAATTGTGTTGGTGATGGCAATTAGCGAGGCTTCTAGGCACTGTCGGCGTCTGAAGTCTGGTTCAGTGAGAATGAGTTGTGCCTCATCCCAGTTCATCAAATGCCCCATGGAGTCTCTGCAGAGGACACAGGCGCACCTTAAATCGTCTCTGTTACAGGCACTTTGATGCTAATTCAGGCGGACCGCAAGATCTCTGCCTGTCTCGCCTACATATTTCTTGGGACAGAATCCACAGGGAATGGTGTAGACACCTGCTGTGGAAGTTAGAGGTGTGGGGCTGCATTTCGTTCTGAGGTCTCTGATAGATGATGTATTTATGGTGGAAATGTTGATGTTACTCTTAGCAAGTGCCCAGCGAGTATTCGTGGCAACATTACCACATGGGAGCACTATGAATTGCTTAGAGGGCTGTTCCATGGGCAGTTTGTTGAGGATAAGCACCACCAACTCAACAACACAGGAGGCACATGATCTCATCGTCTACCTGTCCTCATCCCAACATGGCATTCTTCAGGTCACCATGTGTCACTCACACCTCACTCCCCACCTGTATATAATGTCTTTCTACCTCTGTATGTCAGAAGTGATCTTCTAATAAATATGTCAGTGTTTGCTTACGTGTCTTTCTAGACTAACTTGTCGGTATTTATTACCAAGGTTTATACCATAGTAGTACATACAGTATATCACTGATGCCAGCTAAGCCTGTATACCTTATACAGTGGAACCTCAAACATCGAACATTCTTTGGTCCAGAAGGCTGTTCGAGTGCCACTACCGAACGAATTTATTCCCATCAGGAATAATGTAAATTAGATTAGACCACTTAAGACCCTCAAAAATACACTTATAAAAGCACTTACAAAAATACACTTACATAATTGGTTGAGTTGGGAGCAGTTCGATTTTTGAGGTTCCACTGTACATGTGCAGTACTTGTAGAAATAAAGATTATTATTATTATTATAAGGTAGTGACCCAAAGAAGAGAGCACATTCATCAACATTCACTCAATTGCTGTCTTTCCAGAAGTGTGCTGACATCACAAACTGATTACCCTCTGGCTGCAACATCTTCACCCCTCCTTTAGTGCTCAAATCTGACTAACTGATTTCACTGAATCCCTTTATGAAAGCTACCCTTCTTACACTCCAAAAGTATATAAATTAAAAACCACATGTCTCCATGCACTCCTATACTGTACATCAACCTAGTTTATATATACATGTATGTAAAACTCTCTTATCAATACTGGCATTTCGAAGTTTATTTTGAATATTAATATTTTATTATTAAACCCACGTTAGGTAAATTCCACTTAACGTGCTGTAATAATTAACTGATATTTCAGAAAAACTTAAAAAAGCAATAGGTCACACTTACCTAAGGGAATGACTATAGTATGTAGTAGGCATCTCACCATTACGCTTACAAAATCCACAGAACTTTCCCTGCAAACAAACAAAAAAAAAAAAAAGGAATTTGTGCATTCCTCCAAGCTCAGTTACTGACAAATCCCACCCAGTGTGCATTTAACCTAGATAATAACCATGACTGTGGGTACCAGTGATATATTTCAATGCAAAACCTCAAAGCTGACAGACAATGCTGGACAACCATCAGGAAAAAATTATTTACATAATAAATATTTGGTGCAAAATAGGTTAGAACTGCAAACACCAACTACAGCATTACTATATACCTTCAATAACCTAGTTATATTTTAACATTTCTTTAATCCAAGGAAGTGTACATACCATTTTTAAACTGTCATCACTCTGATGTTCCAACGCTTCATCCTTGCGTACTGTACTTCTGCTGCCATGCACTGGATAAGATTCCAAAGTTGAAATCTTACTATCTGTGAGAAATTTAAAAGAAAATGTATATATTGATGTCAATGTTTATATATATAGTACTGAAATAAATACAATGGAACCCCGGTTTTCGTCCGGTCCGAATATCATACAATTCGGATTTCGACTACTTTTCTTTGGCGAATTTTTACCCTGGGTTTCATACATCCACTAGGAAATCGTCCGTATCAGATGCATCCGCCTGCCCAGGACACTGCTGCTCACAATCTACCTGTGTCACTCATTCAGTGAACAATACTCTGCGCGTTCATACATTGTTTTTGGTGCTTGTTTATTAAGTGCGACTGTGAAATAAGTCACCATGGGGTCAAAGAAAGTTCCGAGTGCCAGCCCTTTGGTCAAGAAGGTGAAAAACATGATAGAATTCAAGAAAGAGCTTGTATTAAAATACGAAAGTGGTGTATGTGTGGCCGAGCTCGCCAGGATGTGTGGGAAGTCCAAATCAACAATCAGTTCCACCCTGGTGAAGAAAGTAAAAATCAAGGAAGCTGATGTTGCGAAAGGAGTAAATGTGCTAATGAAACAGAGATCACAAACAATCGAAGATGTGAAGTTGTTGTTGGTGTGTGTCAATGAAAAATAGTTAGCGGGAGATAGTGTTGTGGAGGGGATAATTTACGAAAAGGCAAGGCAGTTGCATGTGAATTCCGTAAAGAAAATGCCTGGAACGAGTGCTGCTGTTAGTGAATTTAAGGCCAGCAAAGGCTGGTTCAACAGATTCAAGAAGTGAAGTGGCATACACAGTGTGGTACGGCATGGCGAGACTGTAAGTTCGGACAAATGTGCAGCTGAAGAATTCGTTGATGAATTCAAAGAGTATGTACAGGCTGAAAGATTCCTCTCCCAACAAGTGTTCAATTGTGACGAAACAGGCCTCTTTTGGAAAAAAATGCCAAAGAGGACCTACACCACGCAAGAGGAAAAGGCACTACCAGGATACAAGCCTATGAAGGATAGGCTAACTCTTTTGTTCTATGGTAATGCTAGTGGGGATTTCAAAGTGAAGCCTTTACTGGTGCAAAGTTTTGTGGAGAATTATCACCCTAACAAAACTGTTGCAAGCCATGTCTGCAACATGTTCAATGACAGTGCCTTGTCCCATTTTAGGCAAATCTTAGAGACGCCAGAAACAGAGCTCTCTGGACAGTTTTTTTGTGCGACAGGGGTACAATGACTCTCAAGCTGGTCCTAGTTCTTCTAAAATACAAAGGGAAGTAACCCAGGATAGGGCTTTGATTCCTGAAGTCCTTATGGAGGAGGATTCCCCTTCCAAATAATAAACTCTCCTCCCTCTCCCCTCCTCGCCTTCTTCCATACACCAACAAGAGTCTTCAATAAAGGTATGTATATAATAGTGATTTAAATGTTCATTTATCCATTTCATTAGTCACTTATATTTATTTCTCATTTGTTTTCTGTATGTAAAAGTATAGTTATTCTCTATAAAAAGCATTTTTTGTTAATATTTTTGGGTGTCTGGAATGGATTAATTGGATTTACATTATTTCTTATGGGAAATATTACTTCGGTTTTCATCCATTTCAGATTTCGACCAACCTTCTGGAACAGATTAAGGACAAAAACCAGGGTTCCACTGTACTATAAAGATTCTATATTCTGATAGCCCTAAATCCAAGGAAAGTAATCAGCTAGTACATACTTTACAATATTTTGGAAATTTTAAATACTGTACTCTATAAGATATGGTATGTATAATACTTTGGCACAATTTTTTCATTCAGATATACTATTATGCATGTTTTTTGTATTTGTAATGCTAAGGAATGTACCATATCTATAGGATTAAAAGGTTAAAATTCAAAGGGTAATTCTATCACCCAATAATCAATATAACCAAAACTGTCAATCCAGTAAAAAATTACTTTTTTTTTTTAACACACTTGCTGTCTCTCACTAAGCAACCTAATTTTTACTGATGCAACATAAATTAGTGTTGAGGTTTATTATTAAGCTAAAGATTTATGTGATCTTGTACTTATTATTTAGTTCTAAGCTTAGTCTAAGTTTGTCCTGAAATGCTACACATTCTATGGGCATTTCAATTCAAGGTGAGGGTAGGAGAAAGTAGCAGACAGGCAGAGTGAGGCAAGTGAAGGTAGGAGACAGTGAAGAGTGAAGCACGTGAGAGTTTAAATGTCGAAGCATGCACAACATTAGGCTCCGTTGCCATATATCATCATCTTGCTAATGCAAATGGAAGTTTAAAGGTAAAATCTAGTGAAGACTCCCAAATGGGTTTTGAACTGAAGAAAATCAAATGATTCTGAAAGAATACTAAAGTCCTTCACAAACAATGGTATCTCAGTGAAACAGGTTACAAAAGCACTACAACCACTGAAAATTTCAAGAAATTGTATGACATCACAAGCTTAGCTCTGTTTCTGTAACTACAAATAAGCAATACTCTACTCACATACTGTATCTTGTTCCTCTGGAAATTCTCCTCCTAGTGGCACTGAATTTTACAAAAAAGTTTTTAAGAAGCCCTATCTAAACATATTTTTTAATACAAATGACCCACACATAGGAGAAAGAAACTTATGATGTTTCGGTCCGATTTGGACCATTAACTAGTCACACATGAATACATACTGGCTCCCTTGCCTTCATGTGTTAATGTGTGACTAGTTAATGGTCAAAGTTAGAATGAAACATGGTCATGAGTTTCCTTCTCCTACGTGAGGGTTATAGTGCATTGTTCCAGTCACGGTATTATGCCTTTTTGCTCTTATATATTTTTAGTCTGTTCTATTTCATCTAATGCCTTAGTATGTATAACATTTCCTGTATGTTTCAAGAAATATAAATATTACATAACTTGATAAGGCTTCATTTTAATTTCTTGTCTTCATATTATATACAGAATGGACAAAAATGCACTGGAAAATATACACAGAAGGATGATATTAATCTCATGTATCAGCTGTATCATGTATCTCATGTATCAGCTGAAGGTACTGAATGTGCACTCAGGAGAAGCACAGAATTAGGGTGATACTACTGAAGTGTACCAATGGAAAACCATAATAAAGGAGATATAAATGACATGCTTAAAATATCTAACCAAGACAGGACTCGAAATACTCAGGCATGTTAGTGGCTTTCTTTGTATTTAACAATATTTTATAACATGTAAATCCCACACTGTATACTATGCAAAGAAATAAAAACTTTTAAGTTTGACAAATTTAGATTCAGAAAGAATGTAGGGAAGCACTGGTTTTGTAAGTTATAGATAAGTACCACAAATTCCCAAGTAGCTTCACTAAAGTGAGAACATTGGGGAGCTTTAAATATAGGCTGGACAGGTACAATACATGAGTGGGTATTATTGGGTGTGACTTGAACATGTCTAGAATAGGCCAGCAGGCCTACTGCTGTACTCCACTGTTTTTTGTTTCTATGTACTTTACTACATTTTTCCTTTCCATGGCATTACTTGACTAGGGATGCTACAGTAATCTCTTGGGTTAAACTTTACCTCATGATATTCTCAGAAAATTAAGTTATCAGTAACATTGTTCTCATAATTCAATATTAAATCAGAAAACCAATTAACCAACCTGGTTGTGATGCTGTAGTTAAGTCTTCATGTATGTTGCCAACAGGAAATGAAATGGTTACATCAGTAACCATTAAATTATTTTCATTAAATTCAGTGGAAGTCCTGTAAAGCATTTTACTCTCTGGTAGATTAACAGCTTTTTTCTCCATATCATCAAGAAGTGTATCATACAACTGCCCTAATTTTTTTAAATTTTGGCCACTAAGCAAATTTTTACTTCCACTCTCATTACAGGCTTCATTTTTACCATATCTGGAGAGTAGAGCTCTGTGGCTATTCAATTCTGTCTGAATATTGTTTTGGCTACTTGAGGGATTATGTGACCAATCTGCAGCAAAATAAATAAATTCATTAATGCAGTAACTAGTGTTCAATTGTATTAGGACAACTGAGGGAGATATCCCCAGTCCCATACCAAATTGAATCTTACGAAACTATGACGTTATAAAATTGATATACATTATAGATGACTTGAACAAATTACCAAGTACCATCACTGAAGCAAGAGCTTTAACCCTTAAACTGTCCAAATGTTGATCTATGTTTTTTCAGCATTTGAAGTATGTAAAAAAACTTAGATCTACTTTTGGAGCACTATGCATGTGAACGTAAATTTGTTTGGACAGTTTAAAGGTTAAGTACCTTTAAATGTAGGTTGTACAGGTATATGAGTGGATGTGGTTGGGTGCCTAGCATGGGGCAATAGGCCTAGCGCAGTGACCAATGATTTTATGTTCTTATGTATTTTACAAGCTACATGTACAGGCTGTTGTATTCAGTGTATTTTAATACTTGATAATTGCAAAGTTTATATTATATTCACTCTACTGATATAAACTATAGTTATGCACACAAAAGCAATTATGTAATAAAGTACAGTACTGTACAATATAGTTTAAGTCTACCTAGCCTATCTAAGGTCAGCCTGATGAATGTTAGAATAAAAGAGCATTATTGCAATGTAGTGCAAAAAATTCTGTGAAATTCCAATTTATTTTCACATTTGTTAAAAATTAATATAAACCTAACTCGTTCAGCAAAATGACTGTCGCCGAATAAGCCAGATCCACAAGTTTTGGGTGTAAAGTACAACAAATGTATTACAATAAATATTAAGTGGAGCAGGTTACCCAGGTGAGGAAGCTGCAAGTATGGTTGATGAGGAGGGAAGAGTCTGGCCAGCTCAGCAGCAAGCCATGTTGGAGGTGGTGGAGGCAATTCCAGCTCCCATAGGCCCTCACCTCTCCCATTCTTCCTCAGTGACCTGTAAGAAATAATTCTGGACAGTACGTCAACCAGATGCATTTCAATCACTGCATGATTAGACAAAAGTACCCCTAAATTTTATTATCCCGGTCCCCTGTACTAAGCTTAAGCATGAGACTGGAAGATTGTAGTATGAGATGAGTTTGTAATGCAGTTAAATATTAGCACTGAACATATGAAGCAAACCAAGAGAAGGAAATTAATATCTTGGAGTATCTCAATATAAAAGCTATATATATTATAATCATGGAACACGCCAAACCGACAAGGATCAAGTCAATCAGTTTAAACACATGAAAAAACAGAAATATTTACAATTACAATAAGTGTCAGGGGCCCGAGACTGTTCAACTGCCTCCCAGCACACAAGGGGGATTACCAACAGACCCCTGGCAGTCTTCAAGCTGGCACTGGACAAGCACCTAAAGTCAGTTCCTGATCAGCCGGGCTGTGGCTCGTACGTTGGTTTGCGTGCAGCCAGCAGCAACAGCCTGGTTGATCAGGCTCTGATCCACCAGGAGGCCTGGTCACAGACCGGGCCGCGGGGGCGTTGACCCCCGGAACTCTCTCCAGGTAAACTAGTTATTGCAGTTCCTAAGTAAATTTCAAGGGCTGAATGAAAAGACAAAGGCTGCAGAATATTGAGGCGTTTCGCTACGTAGCTGTAAAATCATTACTTAATAAGCCATGATTTGGAAGCTACAGTAAAACGTTCATAGAAGCTTGTTCTACAACCTGTCTTTTCTTCACTATTATCGGCAGTACACTAATTGGATCCAGTGCTGAATTTTTTTAAAATCACTACAAATATATTACAATCTAAGGATGGAGGGGCAGGTGGAGGTTGGATACTGACTTACTGGTTGCCTGGAAACATTTTTCAGCTATAAACCACCTGACATCTGCTTGACATAAGTTACTGGTTCACAACTTTCATGTCCATTTTATATTTTGTAAAGATCGTACGCAAAATTTTATTTACTTTACGTTTTAGGTCCAAGATGAATTTGAATAAATTCAAGGAATAAAAATACTAAAATCAATAAGGAATAAATTTATTGGCCATATGTAAGTATGATCTTGATATGACTCCAGTCTTAGCTCAACCACCACCACTAAGAGAATGCAAAATAGGTATAATATTTACCCTGAAGTGCTCAACTTGTAGGGGCATTATAGTGCCTTGGAGCTGAGAGGTAATCAAGTTTAATACCAATAATAATAATTATCTTTATTTCTACATGTACAACGTACACAGACCTAGCTGACATTAATGAGACTATATAGAAAGTCCCTTGTTATGCAGAGCATTTTGGACAAATTAGGTTAATTTTGTCCCCAGGATGCGATCCACACCAGTCGGCTAACATCCAGGTACTTACTGTTAGGTGAACAGGGACAAAGGTGTCTTAAGGAAATCGCTCTAACGCTTCCACCTGTACCGGGATCGTACCGCGGACCTCCATACATGAGATCAGTGCGCTAGCAACCTAGCTAAAGATATAATGGGTAGCCCAGAATGGTCCAAGTCGGACCGAAACGTCGTCGTAAGCTCTCTCTTATGTGCGGGGTTACTTGTGTAATGGGTAACTCCAATTCATTGAATCAAGATCCTGCCACCAAGCATTAAGACATCCTTTAAGAGGGAGGAAAGAATCTTCAGTGTTGATCTACCGAATGTGTAATGTGTTTGAAACTAGTTTCCTAATGTAGGTTAAATCCTGGGCAAAATGCTAGTACAATGAAAAAAAAAAAAACTCCAGACCTCTGGAGTTATTTTTAAGAGTAGGTAAACGTATCCGTGTAATTATGTCCATCTAATGATGTTAAAAAGTCTCCCTGCCCTCTCTCAGTCAATATTATATTAAATAAAAAGTGCTCAAACGCAGTTAAATCTCAACTGACAAGAAAAATAAGATAATGTAAGACTATAGTTTACGACTACTTAAGGTGACACTAATGCACCAACATAAGAGAAGAATCCTTCGTTTCTGTATGGCCTATTATATGATTACAGAGTACAAATAGGCCTGAAGATAAGACACTTATGCAGCATATGGGAATCTTTGTTGAGGAAACGTTTCGCCACATAGTGGCTTCATCAGTCCAGTACAAATCAAAAGGGTGTAAGGAGAGGAGTTTGAGGTAACCAGTCCCTCAGCCTGGAGTCGATGTGTTCAGTCCATGTCTTGTAGAAAGTCGGTTTTTTAAACCATTTATCACACAAATAGGCCTATATAGGGAAAATCATTGATTTTGATTTAGATGATTTTGCAGGACTGAAGACAAGGAAATGTAAGATCAGATTCACTGAGATGTTATTTGTACTCAGGTCAAATTGGAACTAGTGTTTCTCTGATATTGCAATGGTTTTTTTTCTTTATTTTCAAGTTTTTTTTTTTTGCATTGTTGAAGATGAATAAATGTAGGATCTGTTGCTTGTACTCAAAGTGGTATTTGAGTTTGTTTCCTCAGTATTACTACGATTATTTATTTTATCATTAATAAAGTTGAGAAGTATTCTCCTGTTCGGTTTATGACCCTTAAACGTTCTTATTGCTAAAACCCTTGGATATCATGGGGGTGACACCAACCCTAGCGACGCCACTGGACAATACACCATTTAAATTATCATTTTGGGAAGTAATAACTAGTTCCTTTCTAACTATTTCGTTAACATATTAAAAAAAACAAATTTATACTCAGCATTCTTTTTATTTAATGATTGTTTAGCTTATTCATCAACTTTGTCATGCTTGTAGATGAATGGTTTAGAGAACCGACATGTTGATAAATTAGACACATGTGCAACTCTTGTGTATCTTTATTGTGTGGCGAAACGTTTCCTCAATAAAGATACCCAAGAGTTGCACATGTGTCTAATTTATCAATTTGTCATGCTGCTGAAGGTCTATGGAGAGGATTTAGATTTTGCCACCGAAGTGGCTAGTTTATTGTGCACCCCATATCCATCCTGTGGACGGTAGCGCGAGAGCATATGGATACACAAAAGGCCTAGGAACTAGGCCCCAAAGGGTTAACAGGAATACATATGGATTTATATCTACATATCTATAGTTGAGGGAATCCGCAAAGGCTTAACTGTGATGCCTTTTTAAATATGTGTATGGCTGTGCCTAGCTTCATTCACAAGCACTTACTTTATTAGTATCTCTGGTAAAACAGTTTGTAAGATGTCGGTGACAGAATGCAAAGTGTGTGGACAGAGGGCCATACATTGGAGCATTATATCCTAGTGTGTCCAAACATCCAATCTTTCAGACACTTCCATGCAAACACCTTATTGTTAATGATTATATATCTATAATCTTGAGATTGTATCCATATTTTGCATCGACTAAATGAACAAACTGTCTATAGAGATTGCGGCCCAGCTAGGACGATTTTATTTTTATTTTTTAGTGGTAATAAATAATATTTTTGGGATTGTGTTCCTTACCGTACTGTGTACAACTATATGAAGTAATTGTAAAATACAAAATGACTAATACTCCTTTCTAGTGATGTAACAATGCTCAGTGGTTTGACAAAGACCCATTATAACCTCTAATCCTGCTTTTTTTTTTTTTACGCTACCGCCCCAAGGATGAGATGAGTGTGCATATTTAGCCACTGAATTAGCACAACTACGTATAAGCTAAGTCAGTGCGTCATCGGGGACTATCTCCCTTATTTCTCTTGGGGTCCTTTAATCTTGTTCCCCAAGATGCGACCCACAACAGTCGACTAATACCCAGGTACCTACTAACGGCTAGGTGAACTGGGGCAACAGGTGTAAGGAAATATGCTTAACGTTTATACCCATACCAGGAATCGAACCACGGACACTCGGTATGTGAGCTGAATGTACTATCAACCGAGCCATAGGACACAGTAAATATTTCGTATATTGAAGAGTGGAGAATTAGTTTTCTGGCACTAGATTGAGTATTCGCTGGTACAGCCGCTTTTATTTTTTATTTTGTTGGTTTTGTGTGATTTGCTATGCTGGATCCCCAGGTACAAATATCGTAGGTCAGGTAATATTGATTAGAGAATATCAAGTAGTGTTGTTTGAGGTATATTATTAACGTATCTTAGGATGCCTGTTACGATAAGCACCCAATATGAGGGGGACTCGCGTAGATATGTATGCGTTAGCAGAACGAAACCGGGGATAGGAAGAACAAGATGCACCATTATTATTATTAATATTACCTTTTATTGTTATAAGGTTTATACGTTTCTAGAACCGTCGCAATCGTCTAACCTTGGTGTATCGTACTCTGCTGAGGCTTCATGAGCTGCTTGTCTCAGTGCTGCCCCTGCGGCCCTGCTTGAGTTGCAAGATCTGGTGCCTTCCCTGCTTGAGCTACTTTCTCCACTGCTGCCACAGTGTCACCTGCTCTCTTTACTGCCACATATTCTTGAAATGTCAAACAAAACGAAGATCTCGGACCCAAGCTCTGCTGGGAATGTGTATCTCATCTTCTACAATGTCTTCTTAACCCTTGGGTAGGAAGCTGGAGGTGGATTTGTTTTTTTAATTATATTTTTAATTATCCAGTAGTTTTTATTAAGTACAGGAAATACATAAGAAAAAGTAAGTCACTTTGTTTGACTTTTTTGGGTTATCCTTGGTAATTTACACCATGTATGATAATTTAATTTGTGTACCTGTGCCTCAGTAAACTTATTCCATGATGTAATGCATATGTTGTATATAGTATTGTAATACGTAAAGTAATGCCTGGGTTCCGTGAGTAATAGTTGGTAACTGTAGGCATACAGTGAAGTTAAGTTTATTAAGGTATAGCTAAGTACAGTGACAAGTTTAAATGATTATATAATAACATGTAAATTACTTAGGCCAATTCAATAGTCATACAAAATAACTAAATCCCATTGAGGCCTTTGAAATATCTTATTAGCAGCCTAGGTATTAGATATAGCAGACCTCAATATTTCATTATAACCATAAAAATTAAAGCACTTCCCTGTGCCAAAACAAAAGCATTCACATTGCTAAACTCACAAACTAGTATTTAGTCACTTAGCCATAATACCAGCTTACCTCATAATTTGTAATATTTTAAAATAAAAAATTAAACTAAGTCTGCCCGAAATGCCTAGCCATGCTAGGCATTCTAGTGGTACACTCTGTAATCATTATTTAACTATATGTAAACCACACAACAACCAAATTCTGTAAATTCAACATTGTAATCTTTATAGAGAATAAACTTTGAATTTGAATATTATAATAATAACCTGGAGATATTTATTTATTTATTTATTTATTTATTAACAATTTGAGCACACATACAGAGGTACAAAAAAATACAGATAAGAGCAGCATGCCAAAGCCACTTATACTATGCATAGCATTACGGGCTGGCTTAAAATTAACTTAAGATTAACTAAGCAATGATGAAATTAGTGATAAAACATTAATGTAAACAGATTACTATAAAGCACAAGTGAGTATTACAAAGACAGGTCATATGGTTGCATGCATTGTTGTACATTCAGTAGAATGGAGTATTCTGTTAGGTAGTGTATTTAAAAAATAATAAAGTTAGATTGGGTTTTAGGTTTAACATTTGTGATATAATTGTGAGAAACATTTAAGATATACAATTTATAAGGTTCAGTTATTCAGTATTTATTTGGTTTTGGGTGAGTAAGTGATCTTTGAGAAGAGACTTGAATTTATAAACAGGTAATAATAATAATAATGATAACAACAGTTCTAGTTTAAAGATATCACTTTTATTATATGGTATTTTTAATTGGAATTTCACACACATTTCTTGTTTATTTTCATTTTCCAGTGGTAAAGACTTGTGCAGTTTGACACTAGCACCTCACTCGTTGATCCAGTTTGAGATAGTTTTTTACAGAATTTTATATTTGCCTTTATGATGCATGTACAGAGTTAACAGTTGTGATGCGACATTGTTTACTTAGTTTCAACATACGTATAACATACCTATTTCTATGACACGAAGCCTGTTCTTATTGAAGTTTCCCCTAGCTGTTACAAACTGTCTACACAGTCCTCCATCAGTTTTTCAGAACTTCAAATATAATAAGCTAATCTGCTCAAATGCAATTTTTTTTATATGAGAACTCTACATCATTCTTCTACCATTTCTAAAATTTTGAGTGCTCCAAACTGATTCTACATATTTTGCCTACCCATAACTATAAACCTCTGGTATGCTCAACAAGCCTCTCATTTTATATTTATTATGTGATACAGTACCTGATTGCACTTTTAGATTAATATTCTTCTTACTGTTAAAGTACTATTTGCAGACCAAGTTGAATGATGTCTGGTGAACTATACATAATACAATGGCATATTAAAAAATCCTATGTAATGTATATATGACCTACATAAGAATTAGGAAATAAGATAGTGTAATGGCTCTTGCTATTTTGCCATAGATTTATTAATTTATTTATTTATTTAATGTCTTTGCAAACAGTACATTGAGATTGTGTATATACAATAGTGGGATGCAATGCAAAGAGAGCCTCTATTATGCCTTGGCATTATGGGCCAACTTAACATTATAGGCTTACATTCTACTTAATACTAAGAAATAGCATATCATAGTTGTACAGTAGGAAAGTAATTATTTCATAGTTGTACAGTAGAATATTAATTATAAATGAATCAAAATTTGTATAATACAAAGATATACGTATTTATATTCTAAAATGCTTTTGTGAAAAGCAATGATTCAATTATATTCCTGTCAACAATGGATAAAAGGTTCAATGTGATTGTTTCAGTTATGATGACTAACATACAGGGGCAAACCATTAATTAATCAGTACTTACTACAGGTGGCTCATTGTTTTAATCCAGACAACACATCATTTGATATATGAAGGAGGAAATTTGAAAGGACTATGGGAGAGCACTAGCTCAGTACTTATGATTGCTCAAACTCTTGCTGTTTTGGAGGTAAGCCTAACATGTTTACCTATTTCTGTTGCACATTCTACAAGCATTTATTAATAGACATTACAATACACATTACATTATACTCTGTATTTATTGCACTAAGTGATGTACTACAGTAATTGTAGGAACGACTATCTACCAGTGACTGCTGTATTTATGATGTTCATAGCAGTTCAGTAAAAAATGAATCATTTACCTGTACATCTGTATTGAAAAAAAAATAGTACATGTTAGAGTATGTATTAATCATGTGATACTAAAAATTTGAAGTGTGTGAATTCTAATCAATTCGGTCACTTTCAAGTGACATTTACAGTTTTTTGTTCCAGATCCAGACCAAAAAAAAAAAAAAAAAAAGAAAGAAAAGATGCTCTCTGTTTCGTATTAGGAGGTGTATAAAAACTAGTTTGAGGTAAACAAAAACTTGTTTAAACTGTGACTGTTACTGGTTTCAGAAGTTGGAAATCCCTTGATGCTGAGTTACATTGCTAGGATGGTGGAGTTTGAGCAGGCAAATTGCATAGGAATTCAGCATCCCATTTCTGACTAATGAACTTAGAATTGTTTTATTATTTTTATGAATATATCTGTAATATGACAATAAACTAATCATAATAACTGGAAGTTCGTATTACCATAATAGTAGTGAAGTGTTAAATTAGCTGAACATTTATAAAGATGGCATTGGATTAACAATGATATTAATACTGTAACTTTTTATATATTAAAAATAAATAACTAAGCAGTTATAAGTACATTAAATTCACTTTGGAGTTTCACTTGATACTTTTTACTCAGAGACGAAAATTTGAAGGATGCAAAAGAGGAAGGGAAAGAGATAGGAAAAAGGGAAGGGGAAGACAGCAGGAGGGGTGAGGGAGGGCAATATGGTGAGCAAGTGATTGAAAAAGTAGTGAAATCATAGCTGAAGCTTTTTGTGCTTTATAATACTAACAGTGTTATAAATGAGGGTCATTTTTAACTGTGATGTCTGCACATCTCTGAAAAGACAGCTTTCTGAATGAGTGAAAGTGAATGGGTTTACATTTTGTGGGTCACCTTCCTTGATGAGACATGGCTGGTGTGTTAAAAAAAATACTAACAGAAATAATTTACTACAGATTGTGCATGCTGCTGTGGGCTTGGTCCCATCCAGTGTCATAATGGTGGTGCCTCAAGTATTTTCACGGCTCATGGTACTGTGGCCTGTCCTGTACACCTTTAAGGGAACTCACACTAGCTTAGGTAATATTTCTTTCTATGGACTTTTCTTCCTTAAGAGGGTGAGCAAATAGATTCTTCAGATATTTTAAGTACTGTACTTTCAAAATAGGTAGTAGGTTGGTAGACAGCAACCACCCAGGGAAGTACTACCGTCCTGCCAGATGACTGTGAAACAAAAACCTGTAACTGTTTTGCATGATGGTAGGATTGCTGGTTTCTTTTTCTGTCTCATAAACACGCTAAGATAACAGGGATATCTTGCTACTCCTACTTACACTTTGGTCACACTTCACAGACACGCACATGCATATATATATATACATACATCTAGGTTTTTCTCCTTTTTCTAAATAGCTCTTGTTCTTTTTTATTTCTTCTATTGTCCATGGGGAAGTGGAAAAGAATCTTTCCTCCGTAAGCCATGCGTGTCGTATGAGGCGACTAAAATGCCGGGAGCAATGGGCTAGTAACCCCTTCTCCTGTATACAATTACTAAAAAAGAGAAGAAGAAAAACTTTATAAACTGGGTTGCTTAAATGTGCGTGGATGTAGTGCGGATGACAAGAAACAGATGATTGCTGATGTTATGAATGAAAAGAAGTTGGATGTCCTGGCCCTAAGCGAAACAAAGCTGAAGGGGGTAGGAGAGTTTTCAGTGGGGGGAAATAAATGGGATTAAATCTGGAGTATCTGAGAGAGTTAGAGCAAAGGAAGGGGTAGCAGTAATGTTAAATGATCAGTTATGGAAGGAGAAAAGAGAATATGAATGTGTAAATTCAAGAATTATGTGGATTAAAGTAAAGGTTGGATGCGAGAAGTGGGTCATAATAAGCGTGTATGCACCTGGAGAAGAGAGGAATGCAGAGGAGAGAGAGAGATTTTGGGAGATGTTAAGTGAATGTATAGGAGCCTTTGAACCAAGTGAGAGAGTAATTGTGGTAGGGACTTGAATGCTAAAGTAGGAGAAACTTTTAGAGAGGTGTGGTAGGTAAGTTTGGGGTGCCAGGTGTAAATGATAATGGAGCCCTTTGATTGAACTTTGTATAGAAAGGGGTTTAGTTATAGGTAATACATATTTTAAGAAAAAGAGGATAAATAAGTATACACGATATGATGTAGGGCGAAATGACAGTAGTTTGTTGGATTATGTATTGGTAGATAAAAGACTGTTGAGTAGACTTCAGGATGTACATGTTTATAGAGGGGCCACAGATATATCAGATCACTTTCTAGTTGTAGCTACACTGAGAGTAAAAGGTAGATGGGATACAAGGAGAATAGAAGCATCAGGGGAAAAGAGAGGTGAAGGTTTATAAACTAAAAGAGGAGGCAGTTAGGGTAAGATATAAACAGCTATTGGAGGATAGATGGGCTAATGAGAGCATAGGCAATGGGGTCGAAGAGGTATGGGGTAGGTTTAAAAATGTAGTGTTAGAGTGTTCAGCAGAAGTTTGTGGTTACAGGAAAGTGGGTGCAGGAGGGAAGAGGAGCGATTGGTGGAATGATGATGTAAAGAGAGTAGTAAGGGAGAAAAAGTTAGCATATGAGAAGTTTTTACAAAGTAGAAGTGATGCAAGGAGGGAAGAGTATATGGAGAAAAAGAGAGAAGTTAAGAGAGTGGTGAAGCAATGTAAAAAGAGAGCAAATGAGAGAGTGGGTGAGATGTTATCAACAAATTTTGTTGAAAATAAGAAAAAGTTTTGGAGTGAGATTAACAAGTTAAGAAAGCCTAGAGAACAAATGGATTTGTCAGTTAAAAATAGGAGAGGAGAGTTATTAAATGGAGAGGTAGAGGTATTGGGAAGATGGAAGGAATATTTTGAGGAATTGTTAAATGTTGATGAAGATAGGGAAGCTGTGATTTCGTGTATAGGGCAAGGAGGAATAACATCTTGTAGGAGTGAGGAAGAGCCAGTTGTGAGTGTGGGGGAAGTTCGTGAGGCAGTAGGTAAAATGAAAGGGGGTAAGGCAGCCGGGATTGATGGGATAAAGATAGAAATGTTAAAAGCAGGTGGGGATATAGTTTTGGAGTGGTTGGTGCAATTATTTAATAAATGTATGGAAGAGGGTAAGGTACCTAGGGATTGGCAGAGAGCATGCATAGTTCCTTTGTATAAAGGCAAAGGGATAAAAGAGAGTGCAAAAATTATAGGGGGATAAGTCTGTTGAGTGTACCTGGTAAAGTGTATGGTAGAGTTATAATTGAAAGAATTAAGAGTAAGACGGAGAATAGGATAGCAGATGAACAAGGAGGCTTTAGGAAAGGTAGGGGGTGTGTGGACCAGGTGTTTACAGTGAAACATATAAGTGAACAGTATTTAGATAAGGCTAAAGAGGTCTTTGTGGCATTTATGGATTTGGAAAAAGGCGTATGACAGGGTGGATAGGGGGGCAATGTGGCAGATGTTGCAAGTGTATGGTGTAGGAGGTAGGTTACTGAAAGCAGTGAAGAGTTTTTACGAGGATAGTGAGGCTCAAGTTAGAGTATGTAGGAAAGAGGGAAATTTTTTCCCAGTAAAAGTAGGCCTTAGACAAGGATGTGTGATGTCACCGTGGTTGTTTAATATATTTATAGATGGGGTTGTAAGAGAAGTAAAATGCGAGGGTCTTGGCAAGAGGCGTGGAGTTAAAAGATAAAGAATCACACACAAAGTGGGAGTTGTCACAGCTGCTCTTTGCCGATGACACTGTGCTCTTGGGAGATTCTGAAGAGAAGTTTGCAGAGATTGGTGGATGAATTTGGTAGGGTGTGCAAAAGAAGAAAATTAAAGGTGAATACAGGAAAGAGTAAGGTTATGAGGATAACAAAAAGATTAGGTGATGAAAGATTGAATATCAGATTGGAGGGAGAGAGTATGGAGGAGGTGAACGTATTCAGATATTTGGGAGTGGACGTGTCAGCGGATGGGTCTATGAAAGATGAGGTGAATCATAGAATTGATGAGGGAAAAAGAGTGAGTGGTGCACTTAGGAGTCTGTGGAGACAAAGAACTTTGTCCTTGGAGGCAAAGAGGGGAATGTATGAGAGTATAGTTTTGCCAACGCTCTTGTATGGGTGTGAAGCGTGGGTGATGAATGTTGCAGCGAGGAGAAGGCTGGAGGCAGTGGAGATGTCATGTCTGAGGGCAATGTGTGGTGTGAATATAATGCAGAGAATTCGTAGTTTGGAAGTTAGGAGGAGGTGCGGGATTACCAAAACTGTTGTCCAGAGGGCTGAGGAAGGGTTGTTGAGGTGGTTCGGACATGTAGAGAGAATGGAGCGAAACAGAATGACTTCAAGAGTGTATCAGTCTGTAGTGGAAGGAAGGCGGGGTAGGGGTCGGCCTAGGAAGGGTTGGAGGGAGGGGTAAAGGAGGTTTTGTGTGCGAGGGGCTTGGACTTCCAGCAGGCATGCGTGAGCGTGTTTGATAGGAGTGAATGGAGACAAATGGTTTTTTAATACTTGACGTGCTGTTGGAGTGTGAGCAAAGTAACATTTATGAAGGGATTCAGGGAAACCGGCAGGCCGGACTTGAGTCCTGGAGATGGGAAGTACAGTGCCTGCACTCTGAAGGAGGGGTGTTAATGTTGCAGTTTAAAAACTGTAGTGTAAAGCACCCTTCTGGCAAGACAGTGATGGAGTGAATGATGGTGAAAGTTTTTCTTTTTCGGGCCACCCTGCCTTGGTGGGAATCGGCCGGTGTGATAATAATAAAAAAAAAAAACTTTCAAAGTGTTAAAAAATTCTCATGTTACAGATAAATGTATGGTGTGCAATATTTTATCAGGGATTTTGCAATTACTGCTATTGGCACTTAGATTCATTAGGAAACTGGAATCCGTGGAAAGAATGAGGACTGTCATTATCATGCACACACACGAGAAAATGGTAGAGATGAACACTGTAAAGATACAAAATACATGGGCACAAAACTTCTTCATAGTTTTGTACACATTTATTTTCAGTCTTTACTGATGTTGTCAGATGAGTCTGAGAAAGACAAGTTGTAGAAAGGGTTTATATGGCATCATATGCTATCAGCGTTCAAGCAGGGCAATATGAATTGTGATGTCTGCATACTTTTGGCAAGACAGCTATTGTATAAGTGATGGGTAATGTGTTTCCTTTTCTTGGGTCACCCTACCATAGTGGGAGACAGCTAGCATGCTAGAAATTATTGAATGACTATTTAATATTTATAGTTTATTAAATTGTGTAATGAACAAATAATAATAGTAAATTATAAATAAAAATTTATTTTCATTCCCTTTGTGTACCTTGCAAATTAACATTCTCAGGTCTGCCCTTGTTACTGGTTGCTTGGAGTGTGACAGAAGTGATCAGATACTCCTTCTATTTCCTCAACATTCTCAAGCAAGTTCCACACATCCTCACATTTCTTAGGTATTCTGTTTTTTATTTAATGCATAAATTAAACTACATGTGGCAAGTTCTAGCTCAAGTCCCTTCAGAGCTTTGTGAACGACTCGTGAAATCGTAATTACACAATTGTAAACAGCTCCTTGAGTGTAATGGGGTTCCAAACCATGACAAGTCCACCCCCATTAGCAAGTTGTTTACAATTTTCATTATAATTTCATCATTCATAATGTCTTTGAAAAGAGTTGAGCTGGAGCTTACCACAGCCCTGCTAATGTGAGCTTCATCTAAAAATCTGCATTTATGGTCAGAGTGGGACCCATGCCTGGAGTATACCTGCTAACCATGTTAGTGTATAGAAATACAACTACTTGAATAAATCTTATTTAGATGACAGTGGATAGTGTATTGGCTTGCTAGACTTAGGATTGACTTGCCATGGATTCATATCCCCCACTCCTTTCAGTAAGTTTACAATTATGTCATTATAATGTCACAAGTCAAACATAATGTTATACAACTAAGTTAAAGAAAATAGATCTGAGTAAAAGATGCTTTGCCATAGTAGGGTAAAGCCCCTAAACACTAGATGTTTTGTAAGATTACGTAGATTTTTGTTAATCTTTTATCACTGTGATGTTTAAAATTCTGATGACCTTACAGGTACACCCTGTTTATTGTGTTGTACCCAGTAGGCGTTACAGGGGAGCTGTTGTGTGTGTATGCAGCCTTTCCTGATGCAGCTCGTACAAGAGTGTACTCCATCACCTTTCCTAATGCCTTAAACTTCAGCTTTGATTTCTACTACGCACTGATCATCTTTGTCCTTTTGTACATACCATGTAAGATCATTGTTTTGTGTACTGATAGTTTTCATTGTTTCTTAGTATGCCTCAAATTGTGATCTGTGCAATTCTGGCAAGACAGAGTTGCACAGATAGTGAATGGTAATGAATGTGTTTTCTTCCTTGGGTTGCCCTACCTTGGTAGGAAATGGCCAAGGTGGTTAAAGATACGCATATTAAACTCTCATTAACACAATGGCTATATTCTTGAAAATTTTTGCCTAATGTAAAAGTGTTGCATGAAGTGAAGAACACAGGAAAAATAGGGTTACACTCCCAACACCTCCAAATTTAGCAAATAAGTCATTTTAATATTCTTCTGTAGTAAAGCATTACTGAAATACGTATAACCTACCATATACACTCGAGTATAAGTTGTGGTTCAAAGACAAATTTTGTAGGCAAAATTAGGTGGTTGACTTATTCATGGGTAATATTTCTGTTTGGATGGACATCTAAACTGTCGTATCTGAGCGCCTCTGCAAAGACGGTGATTTTGTATGAATGATGGTGAAAGTGTTGAACGATGATGAAAGTTTTTTTTTCTTTTTGGGTCACCCTGCCTCGGTGGGAAATAGCTGATGTTTTAAAAAAAAAAAATATTTCTGAAAGGTTGAAATTTATAAATTGTAATCCCAATACTGAAGAAAACAAGAATAAAGTATGTTCAGTAAAACGACTTAAAAGCAACAGTGAGACATGGCTGCATTTCACTTTCCAGGAGCTTTTCAAACCAATACAAATAATACATGTTTCCTCTACATACAAGGGTATGTAGAGGGAACGTGGTGAGGTGCAGGGTTGAAGTAAAGAACAGATGAGCACTGCAGTAGGTCTACTGGCCCATGGTAGTAATAATGATAGGTGCAATGATTTCTTGTTATCATGTGATAATGGGATTTACTGTTTTACAGAGGATTTGTTCTAATATTTCAGAGGTGAAGTTGGGCAGGTGACAATCTATACTACTTAATGCACAGTCTTGTTATTTTATTCTCATTTTTAATTGTACAAATGGATTACTCTCACACAACTTATGAACAATTTTCATAACACATGCACTACCTCAAAACATATCCAAAGCTTCAATTTTCTTCAACATTGTTATGGATTCACACTTATTTTTCTTAGTATCTCTAGTATTCCTCAAGTGACACTTCATATCCAGAGATCAGATATATTAATGGAAAACACTCAAAATAATGTGATAAATACAGAGTAAGAACAATTATTATCATTATAATCATAACTAAGCACTAAACCCACAAAGGTTATACAGTGCTTAGTAAGAACACTTGACAAAACTAGTCAATTACTGTTCAAACCCAACCTTTTCCCACTCATATATTTGTCCAGCTATTTTTATAGCTTCCCTATGTGATAGCTACAATGGTCTTACATAGCAGATTGTTCCACTCATTTACAGCTGTTGACAAATCTGTTCTTTCCTATATCCTTTAAAAATCTGAATTTATCCCATTCAATTCATTGTTGCAAGTTTTTTCTTGGATAGATATCCTCAGTGTACTGTTTATATCTGTGGGTGCTTCCCACCTCCAGGACTCAATTCTGGCTAATCTAGGTCAGAATTCTTTAATATAAAATGAAAAGCAAATAATTTTTTTATCTAATAATAACCTTAAGGGAAAATAAATGCCAGAAATAAAATCTTTGTGGTCTTGTGGAGAAATGATGCTAGCCAGACTTCAAATGATAATGCAAGACTATGAAACAGTTGAATTACAGTTTCGTGCTTTTGTAAGAGTGTTTTTAGTAGTTTTGTTTGTTAATCTAGCATAGTTTTAATAAATTTCCAAATCTGCATTTGAAATACCTGTAGTGTTCCTGGTTTTAAAAGCATATTCTTAAATATTGAAAAATGGAATGTAGCAAAGTATGTATAGTACATAGTTGCTGCTTATTATGTAATGCTTCATTTTTTTCTTTTACAGGTTTCCCAATGCTTTATATGCACATGTTTGCCCTCAGGCATAAGGTTCTTGGCAACACACAAAAGAAGAGGGAATAAGAAAATTTGGGATTGTCTTTAACTTGGTAAATTTTTGAAAGTTTGTGTTGTATGCATGTGTACATGCTGCAAAATCAAGTGTAGTGCATAGCATAGTAATTGTGTATATGAAGAAAGATTTTGTTGACATGTTCATGAAGGATAATTATGTAGCCCTGTGGACCTTTGACAGCATAAGCCTGGAAGATTAGGCAATCCAAAAAAAAAAAAAAAAAAAAAGAGGATAAAAAAAATTCCCTCAGAATCAGTTGCAAGTGTATTACAGTAACAGTAATTTCATTCAGAAGATATGTAAAGCAAAATAGATGAGTTCATTCATGAGTGTGCATAATTTTAGTAAATTTTTGTAAATACCCACAGTTGTGAATGCCACACAGTACTGGTAGGCTAGCGAGAAGCTTTTTGTGTATTGTCCATTACAAAAAAAATGAAAAAGTACAGAATTAGCGTATTATAAAGAATAAAAAGTCACAATACCATGGCAGGAACAATACACAACCCATACCCATACTCATACCCAAGGTATGAGAGGAAAATTTGACTTTTCAGTCTAGCTTAGATCAAAATGTTGTCATTAAGTTTCCCTTTCCTAACTGCAGGTTACCTGTGTATTTTTTTAGCATATTATATATGTATGTGTGTACAGTATATTACAAATACAGTTGACCCATGGACAACATGGGGGTTAGAGGCGCCAACTCCCTGCACAGTCAAAAATCCACGTATAACTTTTGACTCCTCTACTGTTGACCAGAAGCCTTACTGATAACATAAACAGATGATTAATGTATGTTTTGTATGTTAAATGTGTTATATACTGTATTACAATAAAGTAAGCTAGAGAATGAAAATGTTAAGAAAAACTCAAGGAAGAGAAAATACATTTTCAGTAATGTACTGTATTTATCGATACCATAAGTTGTCTTCTGTTTACAAGGTGAATCACATATCTGTCAGTACCTACATCAGTATTGTCTTACGACACAAAGCACTAGACATCAAAAATGAAAAGATAATGTAAAAGAGAAATTCATATTTATGATTTAATATTGCATCTTTATTTATGTTTACATTTCTCTTGGCTGCTAATGGAATGTGTATGATCTGTAATAATATACTATTATTATATATTTATATTATTGACCTTTGAGTTTAGTGCTTAGTTATGATTATAATAATAATAATAAATCTTTCTTTCAACACACCGGCTGTATCCCACCGAGGCAGGGTGGCCCAAGAGGAAAAACGAAAGTTTCTCCTTTTACATTTAGTAATACATATATACAGGAGGGGTTGTTACTAGTCCCTTGCTCCTGGCATTTTAGTCCTCTTACAACACGCATGGCTTACAGAGGAAGAATTCTGTTCCACTTCCCCAAGGAGGTAAGAGGAAATGAACAAGAACAAGAACTAGTAAGAAAATAGAAGAAAACCCAGCGGGGTGTGTATATATATGCTTGTACATGTATGTGTAGTGTGACTTAAGTGTAAGTAGAAGTAGCAAGACGTACCTGAAATCTTGCATGTTTATGAGACAGAAAAAAGACACCAGCAATCCTACCATCATGCAGTAATAAATATATTACATTATATTTTTGCAACTTTACGTTGGTTTACATTTCTGCGAATGGAATATGTACTATCTGTAATTGTTTGTGTGCATAAGTTTTGATAAATTTTAAGTTTTTAATAGATTTGTGTATATTTCATGGTAGTAAATGATAAAATAGTCTAGCATCTACATATATTTTGTGCATTCATGACATGCCTAAGTTTTTCTTAACTTTTTCGGTTGCAAACCTCCAAAAAATTTTCCAATGCTATATTTATTGGAAATAAAAATCCACGTATAAGTGGACCCAACACAGTTCAAACCCATGTTGTTCAAGGGTCAACTGTATATATTGTACTGTACTAAATTGTGTTTGGACCCTCTCGTGAAGTCTTAAATGATGGGGCTTTAATTTTTATAAATTAGGGATGTGGATCTGTCATCTTGCTATCATTCCTCATTATTAAATATGGTGTGACCCTTGTGGGTTTAGTGCTTAGTTTTGATTGTTGTAATAATAATATTAAGTATTGTAACATTTGTATTGTTAATTTTTATTAGTAAAAGAAAGTAAATCTTTGAATGCTTCTTAATGTTACATTATTCTTTGGAAGATGATCTTTGTAATCTAATGGTTATTATGGTTTCATATGCTGTTTGTCTTCATTTTGTAGTCTGGTAATTTTTGTCAGTCATAATTATCATAATTTTGTAATTTGTCATTCATAATTATCATAATTTTGTAATTTAGAAAATCATTGTGAAGTGGGTAAAAAGATCTGATTTTTTCAACCAACTTCATTTACATTCAAATTCAAATTGTTTATTTCCTTGCATTAAGCATTTACTATGGTTTGTAGCCACTTTACTCATTGTTTCTGCCAAATTATTGTGGAAATAACTTAATGAGTGAATGCGTGGGGAGTTTTGAATCAAGTGTGAGAGTAATGGTGGTTGGGGATTTCAATGCTAAAGTGGGTAAAAATGTTATGGAGGGAGTAGTAGGTAAATTTGGGGTGCCAGGGGTAAATGTAAATGGGGAGCCTTTAATTGAGCTATGTGTAGAAAGAAATTTGGTAATAAGTAATACATATTTTATGAAAAAGAGGATAAATAAATATACAAGGTATGATGTAGCACGTAATGAAAGTAGTTTATTAGATTATGTATTGGTGGATAAAAGGTTGATGGGTAGGCTCCAGGATGTACATGTTTATAGAGGGGCAACTGATATATCGGATCATTATTTAGTTGTAGCTACAGTTAGAGTAAGAGGTAGATGGGAAAAGAGGAAGGTGGCAACAACAAGTAAGAGGGAGGTGAAAGTGTATAAACTAAGGGAGGAGAAAGTTCGGGTGAGATATAAGCGACTATTGGCAGAAAGGTGGGATAGTGCAAAGATGAGTAATGGGGGGGGTTGAAGAGGGTTGGAATAGTTTTAAAAATGCAGTATTAGAATGTGGGGCAGAAGTTTGTGGTTATAGGAGGGTGGGTGCAGGAGGAAAGAGGAGTGATTGGTGGAATGATGAAGTAAAGGGTGTGATAAAAGAGAAAAAGGTAGCTTATGAGAGGTTTTTACAAAGTAGAAGTGTTATAAGAAGAGCAGAATATATGGAGAGTAAAAGAAAGGTAAAGAGAGTGGTGAGAGAGTGCAAAAGGAGAGCAGATGATAGAGTGGGAGAGGCACTGTCAAGAAATTTGAATGAAAATAAGAAAAAATTTTGGAGTGAGTTAAACAAGTTAAGAAAGCCAAGGGAAAATATGGATTTGTCAGTTAAAAACAGAGTAGGGGAGTTAGTAGATGGGGAGATGGAGGTATTAGGTAGATGGCGAGAATATTTTGAGGAACTTTTAAATGTTAAGGAAGAAACAGAGGCAGTAATTTCATGCACTGGTCAGGGAGGTATACCATCTTTTAGGAGTGAAGAAGAGCAGAATGTAAGTGTGGGGGAGGTACGTGAGGCATTACGTAAAATGAAAGGGGGTAAAGCAGCTGGTACTGATGGGATCATGACAGAAATGTTAAAAGCAGGGGGGGATATAGTGTTGGAGTGGTTGGTACTTTTGTTTAATAAATGTATGAAAGAGGGGAAGGTACCTAGGGATTGGCAGAGAGCATGTATAGTCCCTTTATATAAAGGGAAAGGGGACAAAAGAGACTGTAAAAATTATAGAGGAATAAGCTTACTGAGTATACCAGGAAAAAGTGTACGGTAGGGTTATAATTGAAAGAATTAGAGGTAAGACAGAATGTAGGATTGCGGATGAGCAAGGAGGTTTCAGAGTGGGTAGGGGATGTGTAGATCAAGTGTTTACATTGAAGCATATATGTGAACAGTATTTAGATAAAGGTAGGGAAGTTTTTATTGCATTTATGGATTTAGAAAAGGCATATGATAGAGTGGATAGAGGAGCAATGTGGCAGATGTTGCAAGTATATGGAATAGGTGGTAAGTTATTAAATGCTGTAAAGAGTTTTTATGAAGATAGGCTCAGGTTAGGGTGTGTAGAGGAGAGGGAGACTATTTCCCGGTAAAAGTAGGTCTTAGACAGGGATGTGTAATGTCACCATGGTTGTTTAATATATTTATAGATGGGGTTGTTAAGGAAGTAAATGCTAGGGTGTTTGGGAGAGGGGTGGGATTAAATTATGGGGAATCAAATTCAAAATGGGAATTGACACAGTTACTTTTTGCTGATGATACTGTGCTTATGGGAGATTCTAAAGAAAAATTGCAAAGGTTAGTGGATGAGTTTGGGAATGTGTGTAAAGGTAGAAAGTTGAAAGTGAACATAGAAAAGAGTAAGGTGATGAGGGTGTCAAATGATTTAGATAAAGAAAAATTGGATATCAAATTGGGGAGGAGGAGTATGGAAGAAGTGAATGTTTTCAGATACTTGGAGTTGACGTGTCGGCGGATGGATTTATGAAGGATGAGGTTAATCATAGAATTGATGAGGGGAAAAAGGTGAGTGGTGCGTTGAGGTATATGTGGAGTCAAAAAACGTTATCTATGGAGGCAAAGAAGGGAATGTATGAAAGTATAGTAGTACCAACACTCTTATATGGGTGTGAAGCTTGGGTGGTAAATGCAGCAGCGAGGAGACGGTTGGAGGCAGTGGAGATGTCCTGTTTAAGGGCAATGTGTGGTGTAAATATTATGCAGAAAATTCGGAGTGTGGAAATTAGGAGAAAGGTGTGGAGTTAATAAAAGTATTAGTCAGAGGGCAGAAGAGGGGTTGTTGAGGTGGTTTGGTCATTTAGAGAGAATGGATCAAAGTAGAATGACATGGAAAGCATATAAATCTATAGGGGAAGGAAGGCGGGGTAGGGGTCGTCCTCGAAAGGGTTGGAGAGAGGGGGTAAAGGAGGTTTTGTGGGTAAGGGGCTTGGACTTCCAGCAGCGTGCGTGAGCGTGTTAGATAGGAGTGAATGGAGACGAATGGTACTTGGGACCTGACGATCTGTTGGAGTGTGAGCAGGGTAATATTTAGTGAAGGGATTCAGGGAAACCGGTTATTTTCATATAGTCGGACTTGAGTCCTGGAAATGGGAAGTACAATGCCTGCACTTTAAAGGAGGGGTTTGGGATATTGGCAGTTTGGAGGGATATGTTGTGTATCTTTATATGTGTATGCTTCTAGACTGTTGTATTCTGAGCACCTCTGCAAAAACAGTGATAATGTGCGAGTGTGGTGAAAGTGTTGAATGATGATGAAAGTATTTTCTTTTTGGGGATTTTCTTTCTTTTTTGGGTCACCCTGCCTCGGTGGGAGACGGCCGACTTGTTGAAAAAAAAAAAAAAAAAAAACTTAATAAGTTGGTGTCATTGCTTTCAGTGCATCTAATTATGTTGTGCATCCTCTCAGGGCACCTTGATATTGGTGAGATGCTCCTGATCAAGGAATTAGACTTTTTCTTTTCCTAGATTGAAATTTATTTTTTCTTATTCCCCAAGCCAGCAGGCTTGTATAAGCATGTTAAATAAGAGGGCATGGACACAAGTGAGTTTTAATAAACATGCTGTTGGAGTGTGAGCAGGTTAACTTGTATGGAGGAATTCAGGAAAACTGGTTAGCTGGATTCGAGTCCTGGAGGTGGGAAACGAAGTGCTGCACTCTGAAGGATGGGTAGGGATGTTGCAGTCGGAGGGTAATCTGATTATGATGTCAGCAAACTTCTCTAGAGACTGCGACTGAATGAATTTAGGTGTGATAAGTGAGCGTAAGCAAATGGTTTTGTCACCCTGGTTTGGTGGGAAATAGCTATCAAGTTTAAAAAATAAATAGGTATACAGTACAGTATTTTTTTAACTGTCATCTCCTGCCAAGACAGGTTAACCCAAATAAGAAAACTCATTCACCATCATTCAATCTTTCTAGAAGTGTGCTGACATAATCAGATTACCCTCGTACTGCAACATCCCCACCCCCCTCCAGAGAACAGGCACTGCTATCCCCACCTCTGGGACTGAAGTCTGGCTAACTAGTTTCCCTGAATCCCTTCATAAAATTTACCTTGGCAATATAAACACAAATGCAGTATAATGTGATCCTTTATTGACTACGTTTCGCCCACACAGTGGGCTTTTTCAAGTCACAAACAGAACTACCTGGGGTGGAAGGAACGCGAGTATTTATAGTCCGGCTGAGGTCAGGTGAAGAATGCTGCATCTGATGATGTACCGAGTGGGGTTATAGAGTTTAAAAACTTGGGTAGCTTGGAAAGGAGATTGGATAAGTTTGTGAGCAGACCTTCTACAGTGTTCTTATGTGGGATAGCGATGAAGAAGTTTCTTGGCAAGTGGTTCAGCTATGTTATAGAAGCCACTATTCTGGTTGAAGTTGTCCCGATATAGAAATAAGTGATGATTCCAGGATTCTTCGGTATTGAGTGTTGTCTTCTGTGGCGATAAGTCTTGAGTTTCTGTAGTTTATCAAGTGGGGTTGTGTGAATTACGGTGTTGTTACGCAGGCATTCCTTGTGTCGTCAGACCTGCTTGCGTATTGGTGTTCTGAAATACGTTTTTTGGAGGTCCCTTGATGTTTCGCCCACGTATAACTTGTTGCAGTCATTGCAAGGGATTATGTATACCCCTGCAGAGGATGGAGGCTTGTCCTGCCTACTACTGGTGATGTCCTTGATGGTCGTGGTTGTGGAGGTAGATACTTGGAATGATGTTTTGGTAAAGATGTTGGAAACATGTTTGGCAATTTAGTTGGTGGGAAGGACTATGTATCTCTTCTCGGCAGTGTCTTCTCTGGGTGTGTTGAAGATGTTTAATGCTCGCCGTCTGCAGTCTCTGATGAAGTGACGAGGATAGTGGAGTTTAGAAAATATTTGTTCAATTATAGTGCATTCTTCCTCAAGGAACTCGTTGCTGCAGATTCTGAGTGCACGTAGGAAGAAGCTATATATTACACCACGTTTGGTTTTGGTGTCGTGGTGGGAGTAGAAGTGGAGAAGATCGTTTTGGTTGGTGGGTTTTCGATAGACTTTAAAACGAAGTTCGTGGTCAGCTTTGCAGAGCAGGACATCAAGGAAAGGAAGAGTGTTGTCGACTTCTTCTTCAAGTGTGAACTGGATTGAAGGCTCGACCTGGTTGAGCTTGTCTTGGAGAGCTTGAACGTTTGAAGCGTTTAGGAGTTATGAGGAGAATGTCGTCAACATAACGGAGCCAGGTGACAGACGAGGAATAATGGTGGAGAAACGTTCGGCTTCTAGATGTTCCATGTATAGGTTCGCCAGGACTGCACTGAGTGGCGAACCCATGGGTAGTCCAAAAAGTCTGCTGAAAGAGGTGATTTTTTGAAAGAGAAACACGTAAAGTCAACACATAGTTCAACAAGGTCGATGAAGTCGCTGGCTGGAATGGGAAGATCAGTGAATCGTCAATTTTCCTGCGCAAGAGATTGATGGCTTGTGTAGTAGGTACTTTGGTGAATAGGGAAGTCACGTCAAGGCTGGAAAGTTTCTTGTTCCTGATGTTGATGTTGCGAATGCGATTGAGAAGATCACCTGAGTGTTTGAGATGTGCTGGACTGATAGTGCCCAAGAGTTTAGAGAGGTGTTTGGCGAGAATTCCTGAGAGCTGGTGGGGAGCACTGCCTATTCCGAGGATATGGGCCTCAGTGGGATACCAGGCTTGTGAGTCTTTGGCAGGCCGTACATTCTGGCAGGTCTGGGGTTGCTGGGCACGGTGTGTAGAAGTTTCTTCCTTGTTCTGAGCCCTCAGAATGCGGCGAGTCCTTTGAAGAAAGTTTTAGTAAGGTTATCCACTTGGTTAGTTGTGAGAGGTTTGTAGGTATCTGGGTCATTAAGTAGATTGAGCATTTTGTTCCTGTAATCGTCAGTGTTCATGATAACAACACCACCTCCTTTATCAGCGGTGGTGACCCTGATGGTCGTGTCTTCTGCTAAACCTTTGAGTGCATTGATGTAACGTCGAGGTATGACTGGGGAGCTGCGTGTTGAGATGGCTGCTGAGATGATGCCTTGAAGATAGCCTTTTTGGAAGTCGGAGTCATTGTGTCTGTAGTTTTTGGCGATGAAATTGAGGTCTTGTTTTGGTTTCGTAATTCCTGTTGCGAATTTGAGGCCTAAGCTGAGGGCTTCAGTTTCTGTGGTTGACAGTGGACGAGATGAAAGATTTTGAATAATTTCAGGTCTTCCAAAACTTTTCCAATTACTATTATCGCAGAGTGTTTGTAGTTTCCTAGTAAGTCTGATCTTCTATAGTGGCTTCTATAACATAGCTGAACCACTTGCCAAGAAACTTCTTCATCGCTATCCCACATAAGAACACTGTAGAAGGTCTGCTCACAAACTTATCCAATCTCCTTTCCAAGCTACCCAAGTTTTTAAACTCTATAACCCCACTCGGTACATCATCAGATGCAGCATTCTTCACCTGACCTCAGCCGGACTATAAATACTCGCGTTCCTTCCACCCCAGGTAGTTCTGTTTGTGACTTGAAAAAGCCCACTGTGTGGGCGAAACGTAGTCAATAAAGGATCACATTATACTGCATTTGTGTTTATATTGCCATTGTGTCGGTATTTTATACCATTTATTTCCAAAATTTACCTTGCTTATATTCCAAAAAACACATCCATTAAAAACCATTTTTCTGAATTCATTCCTATCTTAGCATGCTCACACAAGCCTGCTGGTTGCTCAAGCCACATACTCATAAGCTTTTACTGTCTCCCTCCAACTGTTCCTGGAATGACCCCATACCTTCCACCCTAGGATTAATACATCCTCTCTATATGCTCAGACGCTGTATAGTCCTTGTGGCTTAGCGCTTCTTTTTGATTATAATAATAATATATGCTCAGACCACCTCAGCCTCTTAATTTATAAGCACTGAATTCTCTGCATGATATTCACACCACACATTGCTTTCAAACATGACATCTCTGCTGCCTCTAGCCACTGCCTTGTTGCAGCATTCAAAAGCTATTCCTCGCATCGATATAAAAGTTTTTATTACAGTACTCTGGTACATCTCCTTTTTTTGCCTTGATAGGTAAATTTAGTTTCTACAGTTACTTCAGCACTCCTACCTCCTCCTCCTCATATAGTATTCTACAATTCACCACCTCTTTCATAGACCTATCTGCTGACATGTCTACTTCCAAATACCTAAATACATTCCCTTCCTCCCTCTGCTCTAATATTCAATCAATCATTACCTTGCATTTTTTGTTATTCTCATCACCTTTTTTTTTTTAATTTCCTTTTACATGCCCTTCCAAATACATACACCATGATCCACATAAGGTAGTCATTGCAGTGATATATAACCCACCACAGAACTGCAGTTGGCCAAGAGAGGAATACAAAGAGAACAACAGAGCGATGGTGGACACACTGGTTGAGGTTGCAAGAAGAGCTCGCTGGAGGAGAGCAAAGTTACTGGTTATGGGCGATTTCAACTACAGGGAGATCGATTGGGGAAAACCTGGAGCCACATGGGGGTCCCGAAACATGGAAAGCCAAGATGATGGATGTGGTACTGGAAAACCTTCTGCATCAACATGTCAGGGACACTACCAGAGAGAGGGGAGGATGAATCAGCAAGACTGGACCTTGTGTTCACCCTGAGCAGTTCAGACATTGAGGACATCACATATGAGAGGCCCCTTGGAGCTAGTAATCATGAGGTTCTGAGCTTTGATTGTATAGTAGAGTTACAAGTAGAAGGTATCAGGAGTTGAATGGGAAAAGCCAAACTATAAAAGGGGGGACTACACAGGAATGAGGAACTTCCTGAAGGAGGTTCAATGGGACAGAGAATTGGTAGGAAAGTCTGTAAATGCAAGGAGACAGAGGAAAGGTTTGTTCCCAAGGGCAACAAAAATAATGAGAAGACCAAAGCGAGTCCTTGGTTTACCCGAAGGTATAGGGAGGTAAAAAACTAAGTGCACTAGAGGCTGGAAAAGGTACAGCAGGCAAAGGACCCAGGAAAATAAGGAGATTAGTCGAAGAGCCAGAAATGAGTATGCACAGATAAGGAGGGAGGCCCAGCAACAGTATGAAAATGACATGGCATCGAAAGCCAAGTCTGACCCGAAACTGCTGTTTAGCCACATTAGGAGGAAGACGAACAGTCAAAGATCAGGTGATCAGGCTAAGGAAAGAAGGTGGGGAACTCACAAGAAACGATCAAGAGGTATGTATTTACAGTGAAGACAGGTCAGAGGGGAACAACAAGTATTGGATGACACACACAACTGAGGAGGAGGTGAAAAAGCTGCTAAGTGACCTTGATACTTCAAAGGCAATGGGACCAGACAACATCTCCCCGTGGGCCCTTAGAGAGGGAGCAGAAATGCTGTATGTGCCACTAACCACAATCTTCAACACATCCCTTGAAACTGGGCAACTACCTGAGGTATGGAAGACGGCAAATGTAATTCCTATGTTTAAAAAAGGAGACAGAAAAGAGGCACTAAACTATAGACCAGTGTCACTGATGTATATAGTATGCAAAATCATGGAGAAGATTATCAGGAGGAGTGGTGGAGCACCTGGAACAGAACAAGTGTATAAACAATCAGCATGGCTTCATGGAAGGCAAATCCTGTGTCACAAACCTGAAGTTTTATGAAAAAGTAACAGAAGTAAGACACGAGAGAGAGAGAGGTGGGCCGATTGCATTTTCTTGGACTGCAAGAAGGCCTTTGACACAGTTCCACACAAGAGATTAGTGCAGAAGCTAGAGGATCAGGCACGTATAACAGGAAGGCACTGCAATGGATCAGAATACCTGACAGGGAGGCAACGAGTCATGGTACATGATGAGGTATCACAGTGGGCACCTCTGACAAGCGGAATCCCACAGGAGTCGGGCCTAGGATCAGTGCTATTTTTGGTATATGTGAATGACATGATGGAAGGGATAGACTCAGAAGTGTCCCTGTTCCCAGATGATGTGAAGTTAATGAGGAAAGTTAAATCAGATGAGGATCAGGCAGGACTTCAAAGAGACCTGGACAGGCTGGACACCTGGTCTAGCAATTGGCTTCTGAGTATAACACCGAGCACGTCTCCGGAAGCACGCATCAACCAGATAACTGCTGCAGCATATGGGCGCCTAGCAAACCTGAGAATAGCGTTCCGATACCTTAGTAAGGAATTGTTCAAGATGCTGTACACAGTGTATGTCAGGCCCACACTGGAGTATGCAGCACCAGTTTAGAACCCACACTGGGTCAAGCACGTCAAGAAATTAGAGAAAGTGCAAAGGTTTGTGACAATGTTAGTTCCAGAGCTAAGGAGAATCAGCCTAACAACACTGGAGGACAGGAGAGTTAGAGGAGACATGATAATAACATACGACATACTGCATGGAATAGACAAGGTAGATAGAGACAGGATGTTCCAGAAAGGGGACACAGAAACAAGAGGTCACACTTGGAATCTGAAGACTCAGATGAGTCAGAGGGATGTAGTAAGTATTTCTTCAGTCATAGAGTAGTCAGGAAGTGGAATAGTCTAGCAAGTGATGTAGTGGAGGCAGGAACCATACATAGCTTTAAGACGAGGTATGATAAAGCTCATGGAGCAGGGAGAGGACCTAATAGCGTTCAGTGAAGAGGCAGGGCCAGGAGCTGAGTCTCGACCCCTTCAACCACAATTAGGTGAGTGAGGACTAACAAAAATAAGGGCCCTGAGGTTAAGTCAGTGTATAGAGTACTTTTAAGACTCCTACTATCTTGCAGGACTTCATTTAACCTCACCAAGCAACTTTCTGAACTTGTATGAAGTTATCTGACATACTGTGATGTTAGTGATTCATTCACTCAATTTTTTTTTTTTGCTTAAAAAAAAAAAAGTAATCCTCTAACATATCAACTTTAGTAAGGAAAGCAGCACTGTAGGACCTTGTGATTTTAGTGCTTAGTTTTGATTATAATAATTTATTAAGGAAAATTAAACTCTTGACAGCTCTTCATTCAAAAGTGCTTTCCTGAAAGGCATGATCAACATTAGAATGTGTAGCTCTAGTATGTGGTGGACTTATGGAAAAAATAAAGATAATGCTGCAAAATAGCTCCCCAAGTTAATATGAAGTAGATTTAAAACACTGAAAATACTTAGTGGCAGGCAGGGAAAAAATAAGCCATAATAACCTTACAGTAAGATTACGACCCCTCAAGGGGTCGTGATCTTACTGGATGCCAGTGAGGGGCTCTTGATCCAAGAAATTGGACTTATTCTCCCTTTCCTTGGATTAACTTGAATGCTTCTCATTCCATAAGTATTCTATGACCCCTTGTAGGTTAAGCTCTTCCCCATAACTGTGTGAGCACAATAACATCAAATGGAGACGAGTGGTTTTTAATGGAGGTGGTGTTGAAGTGTGAGCAAGGTAACGCATATGAATGTATTCAGGGAAACCAGTTAACTGGACTTGTCCTCGAGGTGAGAAGTTTAGTGCCTGCACTCTGAGGGAGGGGTAGGGATGTTGCAGTTGGAAGGGAAATTAACTGTGATGTCAACACATTTCTAGGAAGACAGCAACTGAATGAATGACAGCAAATGTGTTCCTTTTTTTTTCGGCTCACTCTTGACCCTAGCGGGTTTAGCACTTTATTATAATAATCTGGATCACCCTGCCTTGGTAGAAGATACCCGTTGAGGTAAAAAAAAATAATAGTAATATCATCACGAAATATGAAAATAAGTAAGATTTCTTAGCACCTATAACAGAAGAGCAAGAGACCATAATTGTCAACTATGAAATAAGTGGTACAACATAAGAGAAACGACTGAAGGTAGTGCTTCACCACCAGAAGCCTAAAAATTTTTTACAAAATTAGCTCAGTATGGTTGGTGTTATCTCTAACAGAGCTTCAATTCTTGGAATGTGCATTTCTGAGCTATTATTTGTGATTTGGGCCCTCAAGGAAGGTTCCTTGATGTTGGTGAGGGGCTCTTGATTTAGGAAATTGGATCTGTGCTCCAGTTCCCCGAATTAAGCTTGAATGCCTTCCAAATCCCCCCCCCAGGCGCTGTACAATCCTCCGGGTTTAGCGCTTCCCCTTGATTATAATAATAATAATATTTGTGATTTGGTTAGTGCTTTTCCATAAATATAACAGTAACTCAGACAAAACTGAAAAAACTAAATCACATAAAATATAGTCACACTACACAAGCCATACGCTTCGTTTTCCATGACGGCCATTAGAGATGGTGGAAGTCAAGCATACCCAATTGTTGCACATGTCTAATTCTTCAGAGTCAAGTAGATTAGTATAGCAAAAGTGGGTACAGTAATTACAAGCAAAACATACAAATTTAACTTTATTTTCAGCGAATGTAATAAACAGACACTCGGCTTTGTCGTCCATATTTAATGTTCATATAAATGGGTGAAGGTAGGTATATCAAACCTCACAAAGAGAAATGTATACAGAAAAGGAAATTAGAAAAATCTCAGTATATCCATTCATTATAAATATACAGTGATTAAAATGTATATACTGTAGTTCATTTATTTTCAGCCCATGTAAACCAATAGAGGCAATTAAAAATCCTAATGTGAATGAGTGCTGTACACCTAACTAAAATTTAATTATACAGACATACATAATTGCCTTTATTCTCTCTACACTTTCATACAATTCTCCATTCTTTTGGCATGCTCTAATGGCTTTTTCTTCAGCATTAGTAATTCAGTCCACTGACTTAACAGCTTTCATCAATTGATCATCCACCTTTTCCCTGTAATTAAGGAAATCCTCATTCACAATTTTGTAATTCAGAGGTACTTTTAATGGGAAAAGCAGTATAGATGCTACACGATACAATTAAAGATAAGCACATTGAAATTTTGAGTCTTAGAAATTAAAAATTAGGAATCCCTTAGAGATACTAAATCAACAGCATAAGTAACAGTGAAGATGCATTTAAAATGGAAATGATAACTTTCATATATATATGAATTAGCTTTATTAATTCTTACATTAAAAAAAAGTTTACTTGAAAATGTTGTATCAAAACATGAGTATCCATATCTAGAAATATTTCCTAGTAATTTTTTAAATGAACTTTATGACATTTACAATGTAAGGATGACATGAAGGCTTGACGAAATAAAGTATGATTTGAACTTCCATTACCATATTAAAAACTTAATTATTCAAGGTATGTATGACAGATACAGAATTATTTTTTTAACACCGGCTGCATCCCACCGAGGCAGGGTGACCTAAAAAGAAAAACGAAAGTTTTTCTTTTTAAATTAAGCAATTTATACAGGAAAAGGGGTTACTAACCCCTTGCTCCAGAGTTACTATTTGGTGTTACAGATTAGGTATCAAAAATCTATATTTATTTAGAAAACACAATTCAAATTTGAGAATTATTATTTTGAACATACAGTACTGAAAACATTAGTTTGATGCATTAAAACTTCTTAAATATAGTATTCTTATCAGGCATCATTTGTCGCTGCAAACATCATTGTAGTGCACTAAATATTTCAGTGCACTATAAAATAAGCAGTATATCCAGATGAAACCAATCAATGTATTTAGCTGAACAAGCTGGTAACTCAAAATTTTATACTTGTGATAAATTCCACAATACAGTGTTATGTAATTCTTTATATAAATTTTATGTATTTAATGCATCGCAATATTGCATTTCTAAGAAGATAGCTAAAGCTTGGGATATTTTAAGGTGCATTTCATTAATATACCATACAAATGTTCATACTTCATCCCAATGAAATCAAAGTTTTAATGTTCTTGAATAATTAATGCAAGGGCATGAACTACTAATCAATAACAAAGTTAACCTTTGAAAAATAAAAAACTGAAAAGCTACCAAACAAAAGAAAATAATCTTCTCACTACTGGTAGATTATATGTTTTAAATCAAAACATCATACAAAATACATTTTTAAATTGTTAGTATGGACTGTGAAGCCAGGACTGGTGCAATACAATAGGGAACATATGCTGTAGAAATCCAAAGTGTGCATAACCTCACTTTTATATGAAATTCATATAAATACAACCAATTGAGTCTTCAAGCTGGTCTGTCGCATACATCCTTTCATTCTAAAGTTTTCTTTATCTGTTTTTTTGAAGATTATGAAGACAAATGTTCATTCAGTTAAGCATACTGAGCTCACATGACAGAAATAACGAATGAAGAAAATAATGCATTTGGAAAATAAATGAAGTACACTTTGTCACAAATTTATTTTTATCTGTTCTGACATATTTTCCAGGCCAACATCTGGCCTGGGAGTCAGGTGGAGGCAAACATATTTGCTGGGTCAGTAACAGTATATGAAGGAAGCCTTTCCATTCACCAGTTAACACAGTTTGTGGCTAATTAACTGAATAATAATATAAAGCAATCTATGAGTCACATTACTGTAATATGCTCTCAAAGATCTTGATAAATTAGTCTGTTGCCACCTCCTTAGGTAAATATGTCAGTTAAGAGTATATCAAACCAAAGAATATTATTCACAACTGACCTTCAATACCAATACATAAAATACAACCCTCTAGCAACCTGAACCCATCACTGAGAATAGTAGTCAATGGCAAATCTATTGCCGCTAAATAAATCAGACGCTACAAATCTCAAAGTGGCTTCCACAGGAAGGTTGGCATTTCTGAGTATAAGACTGAGAAAACTAAGCTCATTTTACTTAGTAAAGGTTTCCGAAAAAGGGTAGACATACAACAGACGATAAAATATCTTACTTGAGCTTTATCATTCATGACAAAAATACCACTGGCTACTTTTCCCCATAGGACAGTACCGGCCGAGGCTCAAGGGCAAATATTTCAGAAGAGGAGGGTCACAAGTGTAGAAGATAATGGTGGTAGCAACCACCAGTTTGCTGCTGAAACACCTCTATAGTGTCACCATCTTCCATTTCCAAGCCTTGTGGGGTGTCATTCTCTGATATTGGCTGACCATCAAATCTAAATCTTACTGTAGTCTGAACAAGTTTCTGAAATGAAAAAGTACTAGAATAAGTAAAAGCAGACATGACAGCTTAACACAAAAGTCAATATCATTAAACTTGGCATATTTGTGTACATTACGGCCATGTCCCTAATGCATATGAATACCCTGATTTTACTTGCTTAGGTTTTAATGTTACATATTTTTCAAAAGTTCACTGACCTTAATTATTATTATTACAATCATAACTAAGTGTTAAACCCACAAGTCACTGACCTTAAACATGGTAGTAGTAACAAGGTTAGAGATTTTACAAAAGTATATAGGCACACTTGCAGTAAATACTATGATAGTATTTACTGCATACAATGTGACAAGTTGTAAAGAATACTAGAGATTATTGTGGAAAATGTAAAGTGCAGAAGTTTAATACACTTCCTAAGTGAAACTAATCTGGGTTTATAACCAATTTATTAGAAATATTGTATATCAAAAAGGGGACTGTTAAAGTGAGAAGTTCCTTTGACAGTGGTTAATTGCAGAGTGTTGGCAAGTGTGGTAGCACATGCATCAACTGTTGCCACCAGTGAGCACTGCCAACTGCCTCCTTTATGGGTGTGCATGTAGCCATCAGCAAACACTGTTGTAAAATTAAATAACGTTATTTAAGTAATGTGAACCTACAGACAGTATGTAGCAGCAGCGGAAGTGCTAGCACTAGAACTAGTAGTACTAGCAGTATTAGTACTGGTACTTATAGTACTACTAGTACTAATAGAATACTAAGTAATAATAAAAATAATAACAATAATAGTAATAACAACAACAATGAGTCCTGCAGTTCAGTGTAGCCATATCATCCCTCATGCTCTTTATTAGATGGTGCATTCCCTTCTTTCCTTGTGTGTCTTGGCCATGCTCCTCTCCCACTGGTAGTACTACTAGTACTAATACAGTAAAACCTCTAATTAACCCTTAAACTTTCCAAACGTAGATCTACGTTTGTGCGTGTAGCACTCCGACCTTGATTTTCTCCCTAAGAAAGAATGGAAAAAAAAAAAAAGTAGATCAACGTTTGGACAGTTAGAGTGTTAACAGACCTCCCCATTTAATAGATTTTGGAGATTACAAACAAAAAACTGGCCAAACAGTGGAATCATTGGATAAAATAGGAAAAAAGTCCTAATTCCGGATTTTGTCTGTAGCCAGTGTCTGGTTGTTTTCTGAATCATTGCACCAAGTCTGACAATTCTGACATTTGTCCCGTAAGGGCCAGAGCATCCACGTCCAGGACCTGTCTGCATTCGCTATTTCCCAAGCCATAGGCCCTCTGCCATTTTATTGTCTGCTCTCATTCATGCATACATTTATCAGTCTCCAATTTTCCCTGGGTTTACAGTGGTTTGTGTGACTATTAACATAATAAGTAAAGTGTAATTAACAATAGCTTCTAAAGCAAGTGATGGTGCCAAAAGGAAACATGGTTCTCAGTGTTAAGCACAAAACTGAACTAATAAAGAAGGTTAAGTCTGGTGTCTCAGTGGTATGGGACTGTGAGAAATATGGTGTTACGAAACAAAGTGTCTGATATCTGTAGAAGCAGGGACAAACTTATAGACTTATTACATTTATTGTAGATGCCAGCTATTTACAATTCCAGAATTGATATTCTGAGTCACCGTTATTGACCACAGCAGTTAGTGCCTCATCTCTCTACCATGAAAAAATAAGTAAAATTACTGTAAATTATGTACTACTACTATAAAATTACTACACAACACTGTACTGTAGTACTGAGGGTTACAACACCCATATTCTTCGTGTCTGGTAGTCTTTTGAATCATCAGATTTGGTTTGCTGATTCAGAACTTTGTATTGTAATAAAGTTGGTAGAATTACCGACAATATGTGAAGTAAAAGGACACAAGTGCAACTAATGTGATATTTTATTGTGGCAACGTTTCGCTCTCCAGGAGCTTTATCAAGCCATTACAAACAATACATGGACACAGAGGGTATATATAGGCTCAGAGTGAGGTGCAATACTAGTGGTAGTAGTAGTAGTAGAAGTAGTAGTGACAAAAGTTGTAGTAGTAGTAGTAATACAATATGGTAGAGCAATTAAATCATACATGAGTAAAAGGATATAAAAGCTATTACTTGGGTAACATAAAAATAGGTTGGACAAATATAGACTGGATAGAGGCAGCCTGTTTCAGTGTTCACTCTCTGTAATGTGCTTTGTGTAGTATAACAGGAGAGACTATGTGATGGCAGGGTTTACTGTTTTCAGGAGGATTCTTGCTAAGACTTCAGAGATGAAGCTGCAGTTGTTTTGTTTAATTGTATTCGAAACAGCGATCAGTGCTGATTCAAGGCACTTGCATCTGCGGAAATTAGTTTCTTTGATCACTAATTGGGCGTCCCTGAATTTCATGAGACGACTGGTGGATTTTCGGTGTTGTACACAGGCGTTGTTCAAGTTATCGTTCCTACATGTGTAAATGTGTTCATTGAGGCGGGTGTCGAGGTTTCTTGCTGTTTCACCTACGTAAATCTTGTCACAGCCTCCACAGGGTATAGTGTAAACTCCTGCGTTGACTGGTTCATGGTGCTTTGATTTTGTCCTGGTCAGATCCTTTATTGAAGTGCTAGAAGCGATGGCGACTCTGGTGTTAGCTTGTGAAAGTACTTTAGAAACGTTCAGTGCAACCTGGCTGTTGGGAAGAATTATAACTTTGTTGGGAGTGGTTGGTGCGTGGAGAATTAATGATCTGAAGAGCTCTTTTCTTGCATGTACGATTTAATTGCTCTACCATATTGTATTACTACTACTACTACAACTTTTGTCACTACTACTTCTACTACTACTACCACTAGTATTGCACCTCACTCTGAGCCTATATATACCCTCTGTGTCCATGTATTGTTTGTAATGGCTTGATAAAGCTCCTGGAGAGTGAAACGTTGCCACAATAAAATGTCACATTAGTTGCACTTGTGTCCTTTTACTTCACAGAACTTTGTATTACAATCATGAAAAATTAATTTCATAATTCAGAATCTATGGCCAATTGGCAGTAATATACACCCTCTCCCCCCTATTAGTCCATCAATTAGAGGGTTAGCTGTAGTGATACTAGTTCCATAACTTGTACTAGAACTAGTAGTACAGCAGCAATAATATTAATGAGGCCATCAGGTCAGTGTGCGTAAATTGATGACACATTCCATGACACACTAATCTTTCATTGGTCGTCTACGAGACTTGGCTAAGCATCACTCTTGATGAACATCTAACATGCAGGAGTCATATAGCATCCTTGCATCTGTCCTGTCCTCTATGAGTTGCATCTGTGTGATGAGTTTCTGGCACTAAGTAGGGGGAGAGAATTGTGACCTCCTCCTCCTCCATTTTTAAAAGGCAGCTGTTTGCAGTAAGCCTTCATACACTAGAGAGGTGTGTAGCTCTATGTTGCCTGCCTCCCTATGCTGTCTGGAAATCTTCTAGAAGACAGCCCTCTGAGTGGCTTTGGGTGCTTGTCCCCTTGCCTTTATACAAAGGAACTATGCATGCTCTCTGCGAATCCCAAGGTACCTTACCCTATTTCATACATTTATTAAATAAAAACACTAACCACTCCAAAACTACATCCCCACCCGCTTTTAACATTTCTATCTTTATCCCATCAGTCCCAGCTGCTTTACCCCCTTACATTCTACTCACTGCCCCATGCACTTCCCCCACACTTGCAACTGGTTCTTCCTCACTCCTGTAAGATGTTATTCCTCCTTGCCCTATACACGAAATCACAGCTTCCCTATCTTCATCAACATTTAACAATTCCTCAAAATATTCCCTCCATCTTCCCAATACCACTAACTCTCCATTTAATAACTCTGCTCTCCTATTTTTAACTAACAAATCCATTCTTTTCCTAGGCTTTCTCAACTTATTAATCTCTCTCCAAAACTTTTTCTTATTTTCAACAAAATTTATTGATAACATCTTACCCACCCTCTCATTTGCTCTCTTTTTACATTGCTTCACCACTCTCTTAACCTCTCTTTTTCTCTCCATATACTCCTTCCATCACTTCTACTTTGTAAAAACCTCTCATGCTAACTTTTTCTCTCTTACTACTCACTTTACATCATTCCACCAATTGCTCTTCTTCCCTCCCACACCCACTTTCCTGTAACCACAAACTTCTGCTAAACACTCTAACACTATATTCTTAAACTTACCCCATACATCTTCTACCGTATTGCCTATACTCTCACTAGCCCATCTGTCCTCCAACAGTTGTTTATATCTTACCCTAACTTCCTCCTCCTTTAGTTTATAAATCTTCACTTCTCTCTTATTTGCTGTTTCCATTCTCCTTGTATCCCATCTACCTTATACTCTCACTGTAGCTACAACTAAAAAGTGATCTGATACATCTGTGGCCCCTCTATAAATATGTACATCCTGAAGTCTACCCAACAGTCTTTTATCTATCAATATGTAGTCCAACAAACTACAGTACTGTCATTTCACCCTACATCACGTGAATCTTGTTTGTATGCTTATTTATCCTCTTTTTCTTAAAATATTTGTTACCTATAACCAAACCCCTTTCTATACAAAGTTCAATCAAATGCTCCCCATTATCATTTACATCTGGCACCCCAAACTTACCTACCATACCCTCTCTAAATGCTTCTCCTACTTTAGCATTTAGGTCCCCTACCACAATTACTCTCTCACTTGGCTCAAAAGTTTCTACACACTCACTTAACATCTCCCAAAATCTCTCTCTCTCTCCTCTCTTCTCCAGGTGCATACACACTTTTTATGACCCACTTTTCACATCCGACCCTTTTTTTAATCCACATAATCCTTGAATTTATACATTTATATTCCTTCTTCTCTCTCCATAACTGATCCTTCAACATTATTGCTACCCCTTCCTTAGCTCTAACTCTCTCAGATACTCCTGACTTAATCCCATTTATTTCTCCCCCACTGAAATTCCCCTACCCCCTTCAGCTTTGTTTCACTTAGGTCTAGGACATCCAACTTCTTTTCATTCATAACATTAGCAATCATCTCTTTCTTATCATCGACACAACATCCATGCACATTCAAACATCCCAATTTATGTTTAATTTAAATTCTTGCTGTATTACAAGGTATCAAAATATTAAATAAAAGGGGTACACATATGGCAGCAACTTACTGATCTTTCACAGTAGGCACTGATGAGTTTCTTGAGGGATGTATGCTTCTTGATCTTGAAGTGCACAACTTGGCCATCTTGACCAACTACTTTAAGATTGATGTGCTCTGTTGGTTTCTCCTCCTTCTGAAATAACCAGTAAAGAGGATTAGCAGAACAGTACTAGACAATTTATGAAAAATTCTAGAAACTTAAGTAAATTAAGATTTCTCTTAATCAAAGCATTAAAATTGTCTCTCACAATTGACTTGAAATCTAAGAAATACAGGTTCAGTAAATCCCAATTTCCTCATTTTCCTTATGCATTTAGCAAATCAAAAATCAAGTACATTGTGCTTTTATAACAATGACTTTGTAAATATTTATTTGGGAAAGTTTTTTCTTTCAGCTGAGTACTGTAAAACTAATAATTGGGGTAACTGCACACTTTACATGAACTACATAGATTAATTCCTGAAAATATATGATCTACAAGCTATCTTTTCTAAAGCCTCCAAAGGAAGAAAACTTCTGAACTCAGTTGGCAAAAATAAAAATATGAAAATAAAACCATATCTATTTGCTCCCAATACCAGCTGGATGATCAATAATACTAAGATGCCAACTGTGGTACAACTGCAAAATGCAGTGAACTGATAAAAGCATCATCCTTACCTGTTGTCAGCTATGAGTTTTATTATACATGCAACCCAATCTATGCAATGGCATCCCTGATGACTGCCTAATCAGGCAGGCTATTGCTGATTGCAGTCCAAAAGCCTAAACAGAATCGCAGTATAAAACTTAAATACACAAGTTTTACCCATCTTTACTATTGGCGATCACCTATATTACAGTTGGTTAGTTTCGGATATGAGAAAACCTGGTACAAAATACCAACAAGTATTGATAGATGAGTAAGCAAACTTCCACAAATGTAGATGAACACTTCAGACTGTCTTGAATACAGTATTACACCTTCAGAATGCACCACAAAAGGGTACTGTAGCAAACAACACTTAGAACCCTTCCAAGAGTGACATCAACATGACCACTATCGCTACCACATACACCGAAGATCTCACCAGAAAGTGGTCTACTGCCACTTCCCCATTGGTGTTTATCACATGCACACACTGTGATAAGAACTTTGGGGAAACTAGTAGAAATATATTAGGGTCAACAAATATAAATACAAATGTAGCAGGAATGGTCAAAGTAATGCTTACATGATACCTATGACACCAAGGGACATTGGACTTAATGAAATTAATCAAGCCCAGATTGTCATCAGTGATCCAAATTATAGACAGCGGTGTTTAGAAGCACTCTTGATAGCAGTAACAAATACAGTAACACAGAAAGTAGGAAATTATTAAATATCTACCATGCTGGTTCACATGCTTCTTGAACACACTTCATCAAGCCCACCATGGGATGCAGGTATCATGTGATCTTGCTACAGTTCATCTCACCTGGTTCTCACCTGTTGTGGTGGTAAGGCTGCACCAGCAAAGTGCAGCTACCCATATTGGGTTGCTGGATCACAGCATCATCATTATTTTTTTATTATTCTGTTATTATGGCTAATATGTCAGCAAATAACAATTTCCACAACAAATAAGTGTGTTTCTTGTATTAAGGATATGGATTTGTTGTGAAAACTCAAAATAATGTTCCTCATCCTTATATCCGACATAGACAAGGATGTCAGCCACAGCACCGTGTCTTCCTTTGCAGATGACACCCGAATCTGCATGACAGTGTCTTCCATTGCAGACACTGCAAAGCTCCAGGCAGACATCAACCAAATCTTTCAGTGGGCTGCAGAAAACAATATGAAGTTCAACGATGAGAAATTTCAATTACTCAGATATGGTAAACATGAGGAAATTAAATCTTCATCAGAGTACAAAACAAATTCTGGCCACAAAATAGAGCGAAACACCAACGTCAAAGACCTGGGAGTGATCATGTCGGAGGATCTCACCTTCAAGGACCATAACATTGTATCAATCGCATCTGCTAGAAAAATGACAGGATGGATAATGAGAACCTTCAAAACTAGGGAGGCCAAGCCCATGATGACACTCTTCAGGTCACTTGTTCTATCTAGGCTGGAATATTGCTGCACACTAACAGCACCTTTCAAGGCAGGTGAAATTGCCGACCTAGAAAATGTACAGAGAACTTTCACGGCGCGGATAACGGAGATAAAACACCTCAATTATTGGGAGCGCTTGAGGTTCCTAAACCTGTATTCCCTGGAACGCAGGAGGGAGAGATACATGATTATATACACCTGGAAAATCCTAGAGGGACTAGTACCGAACTTGCACACGAAAATCACCCACTACGAAAGCAAAAGACTTGGCAGACGATGCACCATCCCCCCAATGAAAAGCAGGGGTGTCACTAGCACGTTAAGAGACCATACAATAAGTGTCAGGGGCCCGAGACTGTTCAACTGCCTCCCAGCACACATAAGGGGGATTACCAACAGACCCCTGGCAGTCTTCAAGCTGGCACTGGACAAGCACCTAAAGTCAGTTCCGGATCAGCCGGGCTGTGGCTCGTATGTTGGTTTGCGTGCAGCCAGCAGCAACAGCCTGGTTGATCAGGCTCTGATCCACCAGGAGGCCTGGTCTCAGACCGGGCCGCGGGGGCGTTGACCCCCGAAACTCTCTCCAGATTGATTTTTCAAGTGGGACTCAGGAATACAGTAAACATTAACCATGGTGTCCCACTGTCTGGTAGGCAACACTCTTGCTTAACATGCCGAGTCTCTGGTTTGATCTCCAGCAAGGATGGAAACATTGGGCATGTTTCCTTACACCTGCTGTCCAGTTCACCTAGCAAGCAAGTAAGTAGGTACCTGGGTATTAGTCGACTGGTGTGAGTCGAATGCTGGAGGATAAGACTGAGGACCCCAATGGAAATAAGAGAGACAGTCCCTCGATGATGCACTGCCTTTCTTGGGTTATCCTGGGTGGCTAACCATCAAGGGTTAAAGATTTGAACAAAATTTTATCTTATCTTACCTAGTTGAATAGTGTGTGTTTTGCACTTAGATACACCCAGGTACTGACATGTGTCTTAGTCACCATCTTGTCAGTACTATATACATCTAATCTATTACACTGATCTCAATCAATATGCATTCATTATAACAACTCCTTGGAACTCCAATAAACATATGTGAAGATTAATGTAAAACATTAGAAGATTCTTAAATTTAATTAAATATCTTTGCCCCTCCACAATATTTTTATCTTCATATTAATTGCCGTTATATTATAACGCAAATAAAATAAAATTCTAACAAAATTTATAATTGCTATTCAATTATATGCATCATTTACACAATCAGATGTACATATCACATATGTATCAAGTATATTAAATTTGTATACTGATCCTTAAGTATTGATGTTTAATGTTAAAAACAAAATCACCTGATAATAAATCTGATAATTAAATCTTTCACACACAAATATAACATACGGTATATGAACACTACACAATCAAACTTACTACACTTGCTAGAATCTGACAAAATGTATTTTATATTGTAGCAAAATCTCTTATCAAATAAAAATATGGGTGACATATTTACAACCTCTTTTACAAGCTCTCTGCAATTCACAGTGCTTAATATAGACAACCCTGAGTAGTTCTGCAAAGCAGATAAGAATAACACACCTGAAGCAGACACTGAATATCTTAGTAAGCATTTATTAAGCTTAGAATATATAACAAAATTATTTTTTCCAACTGTCTTTTGACAACACAGATGTTCAAGGTACATAAAACGTATATTATGTAGATTTAATCTAGGATAACATAGCACAGTCCAACAATATGACTTAAGAGATAGCATGAAAAACAAAAACCTATAAGATATATACTGTATAGGTTGATGATTTATTTGGCTCATACACCTAATTACATACTCCAGAGCTTAAGTCGATAATTCCCTTCGACATAGTCGTTCACTGGAAAGAAAGAAGTCATGACCAATCATTAACATAGTCTTCAGCCACCCACCCACCACTGGACATATTTAACCGAGGCCCCGATGCAACACTGGCAAAATATACCTCCAGGGCACAACCCTCAGCCATCCTGGGTGGTGTGTAGAGACGATGCATGTAATGACAGGGTACAAACCTTGGTTTCCTCGGACATTGTACACAGAGGAGAGGTGTGAAGACTGGCCCGTTGACTCCGTTTGTAAACACTAACTTGAGCACCAGACTGCGTAGCTGCGGCTCGAGTAATGGATACTCTCTTTTACCTTTAAAACACACTGCATTACTGCTATCGCCTTAAATTTAGCCCAGTTTTTAGGAACCCAAAGTTTCCCAGAGCACTCACTTACATTCTAGGCATTTTGGTAAATTTTATGGTTATTAAGCGTGTTATCGTCAGAGTACGGAGGTAAGGTAAAATGGATTCTTGCAGATGTTGTAATGTATATTTAGGATTCTGCTGGTGTAGAATATTGATGAACGGATTTTCAAAGGAGTCTCGCGTTTTCTTTTTCCATTTGCTTCAGATATAATATATTCATCGCGTATTACATAGGTGGACAGATTTTAGGATTCTGGAAAATAATTGGACCGGTAACCCAAGCGAACAAATAGCGCGCAGTGCAGATATATAAATGTCCCAATAACTTATCAGTCTCTTGAGTTTGTCTCGTTTTCTCCCTAATTAGATTAAAATAAAAGCATACATTATTACTCTGCGTCATCGTGAATTATTTAATGTCTTAAATCGCAACAACCACAGCTCTCATTTTTCTTTTAATTATGTAGGGCTAAATATTATGAAAACTGATTATACCACATTGTGATTACCCTAATTTATATGACATTTTACAACGTTACAGCTGTATGACCCTTGTAGGTATAGCGCTTCTTCTTTGTAACAATAATAATGTTACAGGGGGAAAAATGTGCCTAATACACAGATGACAGCAAGGAAATGAGTGAGCTACTCAAGTCCCAATATGACTCAGTTTTTAGCAAGCCGCTAACCAGACTGAGAGTCGAAGATCAAAATGAATTTTTTATGAGAGAGCCACAAAATTTGGTTAATCTGTGGACTAAAATCACAAGGGTATTAAAAGAGGATAACATCAAAGCTGCTTTCATAGACAACCTGGAAGCTTTCTACAACAGATGGGAACATAAAAAGTCTGGGCTGAATGGTACTGCCCTTGATACTGGCCATATAGTTAGAAACTGTAAGGCTGGAGGTGATGTCCTGGTAGTCAGTAAATGTGGGGCTGATAGTGCTGTCCGGGGAGACAGTAATGGTGAAGCTGGAGGTGCTGTCCTGGGAGACAGTAATGGTGAAGCTGGAGGTGCTGTCCTGGGAGACAGTAATGGTGAAGCTGGAGGTGCTGCCCTGGGAGACAGTAATGGTGAAGCTGGAGGTGCTGTCCTGGGAGACAGTAATGGTGAAGCTGGAGGTGCGTCCTGGGAGACTAATGGTGAAGCTGGAGGTGCTGTCCTGGAGACAGTAATGGTGAAGCTGGAGGTGCTGTCCTGGGAGACAGTAATGGTGAAGCTGGAGGTGCTGTCCTGGGAGACTAATGGTGAAGCTGGAGGTGCTGTCCTGGGAGACAGTAATGGTGAAGCTGGAGGTGCTGTCCTGGGAGACAGTAATGGTGAAGCTGGAGGTGCTGTCCTGGGAGACAGTAATGGTGAAGCTGGAGGTGCTGTCCTGGGAGACAGTAATGGTGAAGCTGGAGATTTTGTCCAGGTAGTCGGGAATTATACGCAGGAAGGAATACATATAAATGACCTCATAGGGGACAGGAGCCGTAGTAGGGAAACAAGTGTAGTCAAAGATAAGATAAACCAATATTGCAACTAGAAATACCACAGGAAATAGCAAACAAGAGGACTCCACTAGCAATAGTGAGGATATATTACTAAAAACAACTGGTGGGAGCTCCATTGTTGGTGCTAGGGAGGATAGGAATAAGACAGGGAAACATGCACCAACAGGGAATACAGTCACAAAAACCCAAGGCAAACGGAAACCAAGCCTGTGCACATACTATGCACTTGGTATCTGCAGACATGGAAATCTGGAAAAACAGACGGGACGTGCAACTATGACCACCCTAGAAAATGCCATGCCCATATGACAACAGGAAAATGCAAACTCCCTTCCTGTAAGCTTTTTCACCCTGAAATGTGTACCTCTTCAGTACAGGAAAGACTGTGCTATAACTTAAATTGCCAGGCACACCATCTAAAGGGGACAAAAAGATACAAAGCATCCAGGCCATGGGAAAACCTGGTAGCCACAGCCACTCAAGAGGGAGAGGTTTTTTAGTGCCAGGAAGGAAAAAAAACTGGCAGGAAATGGCAGAAATAGTACACCAAATCCAGTCATTCCTGGAGTGGAACCACAGTCGATGGCCTCCACTCCAAACCAACAGATACAATACTAATGCCGGAAAAAAAAATCCCCCCCCCCCAGTACCAACAATACCACCAGTCCGATGACATTCTTCTTTGCAAATATACAGGGTCTAAAGCCAGCATCAAACAACAAAATACCTTTCATCCGTGGACTGCTTGCAGAGGCAAAGGCAATGTTCGCGGCTTTCACTGAGACCCACATAAAGGATCACTTGGACAACGAAATATGGATCCCAGGTTACAACCTATACAGATGTGACAGAGTGAACAGGCAAAAGGGGGGGGGTTGGCCTGTACATTGCAGAGTCACTTGTTTGCACAGAACTGCTTAATGCCTCAAATGATGTAGTGGAAGTTTTAGCAGTAAAGGTCGAGAATCAAAATCTAGTCATTGTGGTAGTCTACAAGCCTTCGGATGCAACATCCCAGCAATTCCAGGAACAGCTGTTAAAAATTGACCACTGTCTGGAAAATCTTCCAGCTCCTGCACCCAACATCTTGCTCCTGGGGGATTTCATAAGAACATAAGAAAGGAGGAACACTACAGGAGGCCTGTTGCCCCATACTAGGCAAGTCCTTACAATTCATCCCACTAACAAAACATTTGCCCAACCCAATTTTCAATGCCACCCAAGAAATAAGCTCTGATGTGAAAGTCAAAGGACACAAGTGCAACTAATGTGACATTTATTGTGGCAACGTTTCGCTCTCCAGGAGCTTTATCAAGCCATTACGTAATGGCTTGATAAAGCTCCTGGAGAGCGAAACGTTGCCACAATAAATGTCACATTAGTTGCACTTGTGTCCTTTTACTTTACATATTGTCGGTAATTCTACCAACTTTATTAGGATGTGAAAGTCCCACTCAAATCCAACCCCTCCCACTCATGTACTTATCCAACCTAAATTTGAAACTACCCAAAGTCCCAGCCTCAATAACCCAACTAGGTAGACTGTTCCACTCATCTACTACCCTATTTCCAAACCAATACTTTCCTATGTCCTTTCTAAATCTAAACTTATCTAATTTAAATCCATTACTGCGGGTTCTCTCTTGGAGAGACATCCTCAAGACCTTATTAATGTGTTGTTAGGTAAGACACATATGCAACAGTTAGGTATCTTTATTTCGAAACGCTTCGCCCACACAGCAGGCTTCCTCAGTCGAGTACAGAAAAGTTGACAGAAGCAGAAGACACTTGAAGACGATGCAATCAGTCCACCACCCCCAAAGTTTTGAGGTGGTCAGTCCCCCAGTCTGGAGAAGAGCACTGTTCCGTAGTCCGAAACAATATGAAGTTGAAGTGACAGAATGGGGCCTTATATAGTGCCAGGAGGTGAGACGTAGGTTGCTTTGGGAGGGCAGGTCCCTCTCAAACCCAGCCGTTCTCACTAGTAGAGGTTGTCGAAGTTGATGGTCTGTACCAAGATAAACCCCTTTTGTTGCAGTGTCTGACAGAATGAACATTAAAATGGTATAAAATACCGACAGATTGTTAGGTAAGACACATATGCAACAGTTAGGTATCTTTATTTCGAAACGCTTCGCCCACACAGCAGGCTTCCTCAGTCGAGTACAGAAAAGTTGACAGAAGCAGAAGACACTTGAAGACGATGCAATCATCCACCACCCCAAAGTTTTGAGGTGGTCAGTCCCCCAGTCTGGAGAAGAGCACTGTTCCATAGTCCGAAACAATATGAAGTTGAAGTGACAGAATGGGGCCTTATATAGTGCCAGGAGGTGAGACGTAGGTTGCTTTGGGAGGGCAGGTCCCTCTCAAACCCAGCCGTTCTCACTAGTAGAGGTTGTCGAAGTTGATGGTCTGTACCAAGATACCCTTGTGTTGCAGTGTCTGACAGAATGAACATTAAAATGGTATAAAATACCGACAGATTGTTAGGTAAGACACATATGCAACAGTTAGGTATCTTTATTTCGAAACGCTTCGCCCACACAGCAGGCTTCCTCAGTTGAGTACAGAAAAGTTGACAGAAGCAGAAGACACTTGAAGACGATGCAATCAGTCCAAACCCCCCCCAAAGTTTTGAGGTGGTCATTTCCCCCCGTCTGGAGAAGAGCACTGTTCCGTAGTCCGAAACAATATGAAGTTGAAGTGACAGAATGGGGCCTTATATAGTGCCAGGAGGTGAGACGTAGGTTGCTTGGGAGGGCAGGTCCCTCTCAAACCCAGCCGTTCTCACTAGTAGAGGTTGTCGAAGTTGATGGTCTGTACCAAGATACCCTTGTGTTGCAGTGTCTGACAGAATGAACATTAAAATGGTATAAAATACCGACAGATTGTTAGGTAAGACACATATGCAACAGTTAGGTATCTTTATTTCGAAACGCTTCGCCCACACAGCAGGCTTCCTCAGTCGAGGACAGAAAAGTTGACAGAAGCAGAAGACACTTGAAGACGATGCAATCAGTCCACCACCCCCAAAGTTTTGAGGTGGTCAGTCCCCCAGTCTGGAGAAGAGCACTGTTCCGTAGTCCGAAACAATATGAAGTTGAAGTGACAGAATGGGGCCTTATATAGTGCCAGGAGGTGAGACGTAGGTTGCTTTGGGAGGGCAGGTCCCTCTCAAACCCAGCCGTTCTCACTAGTAGAGGTTGTCGAAGTTGATGGTCTGTACCAAGATACCCTTGTGTTGCAGTGTCTGACAGAATGAACATTAAAATGGTATAAAATACCGACAGATTGTTAGGTAAGACACATATGCAACAGTTAGGTATCTTTATTTCGAAACGCTTCGCCCACACAGCAGGCTTCCTCAGTCGAGTACAGAAAAGTTGACAGAAGCAGAAGACACTTGAAGACGATGCAATCAGTCCACCACCCCCAAAGTTTTGAGGTGGTCAGTCCCCCCAGTCTGGAGAAGAGCACTGTTCCGTAGTCCGAAACAATATGAAGTTGAAGTGACAGAATGGGGCCTTATATAGTGCCAGGAGGTGAGACGTAGGTTGCTTTGGGAGGGCAGGTCCCTCTCAAACCCAGCCGTTCTCACTAG